TTCCTTCCTTCCTTCCTTCCTTCCTTCCTTCCTTCCTTCCTTCCTTCTTTCCTTCCTTCTATCCTTCCCTCCCTCCCTCCCTTCCTCTTTCCTTCCTTCTTCCCTCCTGCAGTTCTAGGGATAAAACCCAAGGCTTCCCCCATACTCTATCACTAAACTTTCACTCCATCCCATGAGGCTTCTTCTTGGTGTAGTGAATGTCTAGAATTAAGCAATTGTGATAGTTGCAACATTGCTAAATTGTACACTTGAAGTGAATGTATGTTATAATATCTGAATTATATTCATTTCAAGGAAGAAAAGAAGACAGGCTCCACCCAGCAAACATCCCTGTTAGACAGAGACATCCGACAGGCCACCCAGGTGTGCCACCCTGAGCACAAAGACAGAAGCAGCAGGAATGAGGTACCACTCAGCACTAACCTGCACCCAGGATGGCAGGAGGTCCTGGTGGCCCAGGGGGTCCCGGTGGTCCAGGGACACCCGGTCTCCCAAAGCCAGGTGGCCCAGGCAGGCCTGGAATTCCTGGGGGGCCCTGGGGACCCACAACAGCCTCTCCTTTCTGTCCCTGTTGAGGCAAGCACATAAGTCATGGAGAAAGCTCTCTTTCTAATGACGATGTTTGTAAGATCCGGTAATTGCAGGCAGTGTCAGCAAGCAGCAGCCCAGACACGGAGTCCAAAGACACCAGGCAGCCCAGGCAGCCCAGGCAGCCAGATTCCTTGAGATCTAGTTTGGTTTTCTCACTCCACACATGAAAGAACTGAGCCTTGAGAGTGGAGAGGACTGGCCTTAAATCATAGTGCAAGAACCATGTCACAAGAACCAAAGAGTCCTTCTAAAGCTATTGCCAGTGCCTTCCGTTCATCCTACGAAGTAACCCCTCACTATTGACAGCTCTCTTCAGAGGGAAGTTGCCACAGTGTGGACGGCTAATGCCCATGGGTTCACTAACCGCCCGTAGCCTGGACAGCTCCTAGAGACTGAGTGAACCAGCCAACAGCACAGGAGGAAGCCTGCTCAGGCCTAAGTACGCACTACACTGACTTCAACTCTAAACCCACCTACTCACACTGGGGGGCGAGGCACAGGGAAAGCCACTGGTCCCCAGGGAGTTACTACTCACAATCAGGCCTGGATGTCCTGGTAGGCCTGGAGGCCCAGACACAAAGAGGTTGTTGCTGGACTCTCCTCTGAAGGCTGCATCTCCATTCCCCCCCTGGAAGAAAGACCGTGGGAGGTTTCAGTAAGACAGGCATGAACCTTTCTTAACAAAAACTCAAGAAACCGAGTCACAGGCTATTGCAATATCAGTGGGACCCCCAAAGTCCACGTGTTAGAAACATTATCCCCAAACTTGTGTATTGCTGGCACTGAGAGGTGAAGTCTGGGTTAGTGGAGTGACTTTGTGAGCTAGGGAGTAGTTTTTCACCCACTGAGACGGTGGGACTGATCTAATGGGAGCTCACCTAGACCAGCTGGACTGGGAGTGATGGAGCATGTGATCAAACCGGACTCTCTGAAGGTGGCTGGCAATGAAGGCTGACTGAGAAGCCAAGGACAATGGCATTGGGTTTTTACTCTACTGCATGGATTGATTTTGTGGGAGCCTGGTTTGTTTAGATGCTCACTTTTATAGACCTGGATGGAGGGGGGAGGACCTTGGACTTCCCACGGGGCAGGGAACCCTGACTGCTCTTAGGACTAGAGAGGGAAGAGGAGGTGGGGAGGGGGAGGGAAAAAGAAGGCGGGGAGGAGGTGGAAATTTTTAATAAATAAATAAATTAATTAATTAAAAAAATAAACCCTTAGCATTCTTGTTCTGTCTTGCTCTGTGATTTCTGCATCGTCTCAGGACTTTGCAGAATCCCGACCAGTGAGGAGCCCTAGCTCTCCATACCATGTGCTAGAGAAGCCTTCATTCTTTCCACATTATGCAGTCTGTGGTACTCAGTTACGGCAACAGCAAACAGACTAGGAAAACAGACCAAACATTGAATAATGAATATTCACCTTCAGGCTGTGGAGAAAATGTCTCAGATAAGCTGGATCAACCGGAGGGCCTGAAGAAGGAACACTTTGTAAGTTCATCATCGTAACGGCCGAGATTTCACAGTTTCCAAGTTAGTAGCCATGGTTATCTCTTAATAAAAGTGATACTACGTTGATTTACTAGAGCTGACAGTAGGCTTGGAGGCATCTCCAGTCCTAATCTAGGCCCTGCTACCCAGGGACTGTAGGATCCCGGGCAAGGCCCTGATTCTCTCAGTGCCATATTTTACCTATGAACAACAACAGAAAGTCACCCTCTCCCTCTGACCCCCACCCAGCCTGTAGTTCTGGGGCTGGAAGTCAGGGTTCTGAGCATGCTCAGCAGTACTCCACCTTCATCCCCGCCCCCCCATTTCCCTTGAGTGTTCTGCTTTGGACATATTAGGCCTGAGACTGTTTCTTACTAGAAACCACAGCGCTTGTGGGCAGGGTGGCTAGTTTGTGTAGCCACCTTGACTTAGCAAGGCCTAGGGTAGGAGCAGGCATACCTGGTGGTCCTTGGGCTCCTTGGTCCCCCTTTTCTCCTTTCGAACCAGGAAGACCCCAGGACCCTTTCTCTCCTTTAACACCTGTCACCAAACACACATGCACGTTTAAGAACAAGGAAAAGTAGGTTGTGGGAAATCAGGTTTTGGAATTAAGCCCTTTAGCAAAGTCCATCAGCCCAGAAGGCTCAGGGAAGCCAGCAGGTAGGAAAGATCCAGCAGGGCCATGATCCTGGCATCAGACAGGTTTCCAGATCTTGATCCAGTTCACAGTAATGAAATGTCCTAGAGAAGACGGACAGAGTGGAGGCCAGCAGGGACTGTAGTGACGCAGCAGGGACTGACTTCCCACTCGCTTAGGACAGTTTATGAGCACAGGCTGAGGCCCCATTCTCCTCTCCCCTTCTGCCTCCTCTTCCCTGGGTCTGTGCAGCCTGAGGTTTTGAGGAGCAAATAAATCTCCCAGGTACGATGACACAGTTTAGCTAAGGGGGGTGAATCACTCGCTTACACAGCTGGCTGAGGGGATGAACACCCACTGTGGGTCACATGCCATCCTAAGTGGTATGAAGCCAGGGGTCTGAGGGGCTGCCTTCCCAACCCACCATTTCCTCTGCTCCTCATAGGGGAGAGGCGCATGAGGGAGGCTTTCAGGAAATTGGTATCTGGGGAGGAAAATCACCCCTTCCCTTCCCTTCCCTTCCCCTGGATGGGACCTAAAGGTGGACGTGAGACCCCCCAGTTTGTGACCCCTAAAAAGTGCAACAGATAAATCTTCCAGTGTTCTCTAGTCTAGAGGTGGGTGTCCTAAGATTGTGGGGCCCAGGCTTCCTCGATGTAGGAGAACAGCCAAGAGCACCAAAGGTGTGATGAGGGAGCAGCCGGGACGTCCAACCACATGGCCCAGGTCCCACTGATGCACGGGAGCTGCTGAAACTAAGGGCGTAGGCAGAGCATTGTGGGTTCCCAGCCAAACCACAGCCAGCAGTGAAGGCAGAGGTGATGAGTAGACACCCTCAGGTGCTGCCCTGAGAGGCAAAATAACACCCAGAAGCACTTATGGGATGCTGAGTGGAGGTGGAAGAGCGTTCGTGACTGCTCTCCTAGAGGCCTGTCCCGCTGTGGTGTGCTCTTAAGAGGCTGAGCATGCTAACCCTTACTACCCCCCTACCACTCCAGCACCCACACACATATACACACTGAACAAGGTTTCACAGAAGCTCTGCCTGTAGACTAGGAGAATGGACCAATGAGAACAGATGCTGACCTTGAACTGGTGATCCTCCTGCCTCAGCCTCTTGAGTACTGGGATCAGAGATATGTATCATCATGCTTTGCCGCACCCTCTCCTCACAGCATTGGGGATCAAACCTAAGGACTCATATGCTAGGCGAGAGCTCCTGACCCATGGAGCCGTTCTTTCTGTCCTATAGTCAGTTTTAACGGTTCCTGGCACCCGAAAGATCTTAAGGGCTGAGGAGGCAGGAGACGCACGGGGCAGCACCAAGCAGGCATCCATGGCTATCTTTTGAAGTGATTGGCAAAGGAATGAACAAAGGGAGAGTTTCCTGTTACCCAGGACACACAGGTATGTGGAAAAACCAGAAAGACATGTGTACCACAGCTCAGCTGCCGCTTGTCCCCCATGCCAGTCAGGCCTTCCCGACCACCTCATCGGTGGCCAGCACTAGACACATGTAAGTGTCTACAGGCCAGGAATGTCCCAGAGAAGCACAGTGAAGAAGTGCATACCATGGAAAGTGACAAGCTCTGGGTCCCCGGGGTGAGCAGTACCAACCTAGGGAAAGAGAAAGACCAGGTCAGACGTGGGAAGCGCTGCTCCGGCTTTTGTCTGGGTGATTATGGTCCCGGGGACATATTGCAGAGGAGGAAATGACACAGGGCCAGGCTTGGACTTAGCTCTGGAGCTCCAAATCTCCCAGCACCTCAACACAGACATCTCAGGCCTTCAAGCCCGTGATGTAGCTGGCCTCAAGAACACAGCATCGAGACTTCCGGCCAAAACTCTCAGCAAAAGGGAAACCCAGGGCCTTCAGATAGTGTTCATGAGAGTGTTGGCTGATGCTGAATGTCTTGGCCTCCTTCCTTATCAATTAAGATTGGCTCATGGTTGAGGCCAAACGTCCGAGCCAGCCCTGAGCCAGCTCTGAAGCTGGGCCAGTCGCCTGCTACTGAGTGTAATCAAAGACAGGCATAAGGCACGGGTCCTGGCAGGAGTTGCCGTGATAAATAACAGGGTTGTCATTAGATTGGAGGGGCTATTATGGGCTCCTCATTAGGTGGCAGGGATTTGGAATCCAAGCAGTTCTGGATAATATAATTCTCAGTTCTTTCCCATATCCCTGCTGCCCCCCGGGGGGGGGGGGGGGGGGGCGGCGCGGGGTCTCTCTCTCTCTCTCTCTCTCTCTCTCTCTCTCTCTCTCTCTCTCCCTCTATCTCCTGTAGTCAATCTTACGTGTGATTCCTCAGACGCTGTTCACTTTGTTCTTTGAGTCACTGGCCTAGATCTGGTCAGTGAGCCCCAGACATCCCGTCTCCACCTCTGTGGCACTGGGATTACGAATGTGCACCATCATGGCTTTTCCTCCCCTCAGGTTCTGAGCATCAAACACAGTTTTTCCTGCTTGTGCAGAAAGCCTTTCACCAAGCCACTCCCGAGATCCCCAGATCTCGCCTAGCATGTGTGAGTTCTTAGGTGAGTCTGCAGACAGAAGCCCCTGCAAACTGGTGTGCAATACACCTTGTCTTAGCTTCAGCTCCTGTTCCTGTGATAAGACACCCTAGTAAAAGCAACTTACAGAAGATTTTTTGATTGACAACTCCAGGTTATTAGAGTTATATTGCTCAGGAGTCAAGGTAGCATTGCGAGGAAGCAGCTAGTCACATCCAATTCATAGTCATGAGCAGAGAGCAAGGGATTCATATATGCGGGAGCGTGCTCGGCTCACTCTCTCCACTCTTACACAGTTTGGAATTTCTCAACTAGGGTAGGGCACCACTCATAGTGGGCAGGTAATATAGACAATCCCTCAACCTGACCAATACAATCACACAGGCCAACCTGACGTATAGAATCCCTCATCAAGACTCTCTTTGGCGATTCTTGATTGTGCTGGGTCTACTACCACACTACACCGCCACATTCCCCAGTTGAGTGATGGTGCTCCACCTGGATCCAGGATCTTTCTGTACTTATGAATGGGGATTGCCAGCTGCTTAGCGGTTATCACAAAAAGATGCTGGGAAGGGGAAGAAATCTTCCAGAAAAAAATTAAGGATGCATATTGCAGAGATTGTGGTTAAGAGGCATGGTGGGGGTCTAAACTGTGCTGGGAGGTACTTATGAGGTGCTGGGTATGTTCCTGTTTGGTGATGTCCACTTTGAGGGTGGCCGTGTAGGAAACATCCTCTCCTCCAAATCCCAAGGTGTCCCAGTATGCCACAGCAGATTAAGATAAAGCAAACCTCACTCCGAATACTCTGAGCCTAGCATTGACTTCTTTTTAAGTAACTCCACGGCACACCCATGCACATGTGGATATGGCACAGGGTCCTAGCATAGGTCACGTGACTGCAGTAGCATTCCCACAACACTCTAAAGTTTGTGGTGGGCCATCCCACAGCTAGCGCATTGAGATTGCTTGTGGGAGGTGGTAAAGCGGCTGGGTTCTGTGGTGGAAGGCGGGGCCTTCAACACTCATAGCCAGAGGAACCTAGGCAGCCTACAGCTCCTACATGCAGAGGTGAGTGCACAGCTTTCTGGGACTATCTCCAGAACCTGCCCTTGAACCAGAGGCCGTTCTGCAGTTATCTGTAGAAACAGGCCCTTGGCGGTGCTATTGCACCTACACGGAGTTCAGCACTGCATCCAGGTGGATCCCACGCTCTGCCTTCCAGGCTAGAATGCTTGGACTATGGGCTGCCCATGTGGATGCCACAAAGGTCAGACTTGGACATATGCCTAGGGCAACACACAGCCTGCCAGTCTGTGTCAGTCGGAAGCCTTGGAGAGCAGCCCCATTGCCACTCCCACAAGAATCGATTCAAGCCCACTTCAAAGTATATTTTGAAATGATCATTTGCAAACTCCAGAAGGCAGAGAGCAAGCCTGTCTAGGTCATCCCTGTGTCCCCAGGGCCTAGCAGAGTCCTTGGCACTGGTGAGAGCTCAGTAAATATTTACTGAATGAACGAGAGACCGATTACTCACAGATCCGTGACTCATGCCTGTCCCTGTGTTTCCTCACAGAAATAAACGTCTAGCTATGAGACTGGCAAAATCCTAAAGACAGAGCTGCCAACGGCCTGTGTGGGGAGGGGCAGGAGGAGGCTGGGCAAGCGATCACAGTGCCTGCACCTGCTTCCGGGTGACCAGGAGATCTTAGCTGTGGTCCCGGCTGCCCCATGCCCCATGACCTTGGGCTAGCCTGAGAGCTTCCGTGGGCAGTTGCCTTCCCGTGATGAAGGGGAGAGATATCGTTTGCCTCTTGGGGAGGTTTGGTAAGCGGTAACACAATCCTTGGGAAGGATGGGACAGAGTAGCTACAGATTCCATCCCCAAGTCCCCAGCACAGATGCCATGAGCTGGCGTCACTTCTTCCTGTTATAAGGGGTCTATTTTGCAATTTTACGCTCCTCTTGCCCATGAGGCCAATGTGGTCTCACTAATGGAACACTAGCTGTGCTGGCTGTATCAAAAGAAGTGGCGTGTGGATATTTCATTACTGGTGTCTATCATCTAGCAACATCTAGACCTTGGAGGGTCCTGATGTGGACAGAAGATACAGCCAGGGATGGAAGGTGCTCGAGGCAAGACTGATCTGTTTCTTTGAGTTGACACCCATGCTTAGCCTGCTGCCAATGACACAGACGTGTGTTACTTACCGGAGTTTTGCAGTGTGGCCGGGCAGGTATTGGGAAAACAGCCTGTAGGAGAGAGAGAATATGAGGAGTGAGGCCCTCAGGAAACCCAGCTACAGCTGAGGCCGATCTGGTTCCCGTTGCATGGTCCCCAGGCCCATCCTGACTTACACCTTTGATGTTAACCATAGCTCCAGGGGGTCCGGGGGGTCCTGGAGGTCCAGGTAGGCCAGGTGGACCCTGAAGGAAGAAAATAAAAGCTGCTACTGAGTTTGGGGATCTGGGAGTACGGAGCAACTGCAGGGTGTGCCCCACACTGGGCTGGAAGCCGGGGAGGAAAGAGCCTTTGGAGACAACCCACAACTGCCTCTGGTCCCTAGTCCCCTCCATAGAGCACTTACACATCTGGTCCATACTGCAAAAATGTCGGTAAACCATGGAGACAGCAGAGCGACTATGTCATACTGATTGATGCCCACAAATAATGAGGCCCAGGGAGGGGACACAACCTGCTCAAAGCTTACAGAAGGCTGACATTGGAACCCAGAGTTTGGTTCCCAGAGCAATGCTCCATTAACGTCAGCATTTCTGGAACTACGTGCAGAAGGGAAGAGGGTCATCAGGATCCTACTAAGAGACTCCCATCCCTTCCTCCTGCCTCCCCCTTCCATCTGGTGTCTGCATGGGGAGACTGACACTTTTCAGCATGAGCATGATCCAGGTGGCACGGGAGCCTCCTAAGAGTGAGATGGGGGCAGGGCTAAGTGTGAGGTTCTTTAGAAGTGACGATGGAGGAAGAAGGCGAACACTCCCGAACATGCATTCTGCAAACCCCAGTCCCTGGACTTCATGGCACTGGACCCTCTCGAACAGGGTGTGATCAGCCCTACAGCTCAGGGGCAGCTGAGATGGGAGAAGAGGATACAGTTCTCACCGGCATCATGATCCCCCGATCTCCTTTGGCACCCTTGAGACCGTTCAATCCTGGGCGACCCTGAGATGCACACAAGATACCTTAATGAGTCTTGCTGTGGGGCACCCTGGTCACTCCATGCCCCATCCTTTAGTGTGGGGAACACTGATACCTACAGGTCGTCCCGGGAGGCCAAATTCTCCTTTGTGTCCTGGTGGTCCTTTGGGTCCCTAGAGGCAAAACAAATGCCATGGTAGCAAATGACAGAAACTCAGGTTCCACAGATCTGGAAGGCTGGACTTGCTCTTGGAGGCAGTGAAGCAGGGATGGGAGGAAGGAACATGAGCAACAATCCTGAAGTACCCACCCACTCATTTCCTGGTCTCTTGCCTCTCAGAAGGGTTTGCTCAGTCCTTATGCTCTCCCTGTTTTTCTGAAGGCTACACACCCAAGACCCGATCCCTCAGTAAGGGTGAACGACATAGCAAGAAACCAGCAACTCAGTGCCTCAGGTCCCGGGGGGCCACATGCTAGGCTGGCTCAGAACATGGAGTTTTGCCACTGGTCATACATTCCAGGATCCCCATGTCCTTCTGTTCTGCAGCCCTACCCCTCCCTGTGCCAGTTTGCCCAAGAACTGGCTTCAGGATGTGGTTCCTGTTCTGTTCCTACTCATCTTGAGGCCCTGCCTCAGCATAGTGCCCCTTTCCTCCTACAGAGTTCCTGACCCACGGACCCTATTTCTGGGTCACACACTTCTTGAGTCACTGCCCTGATCTAAGCTCCCAGTGGGAATCATCTTGCCTATTGGAGCCTAAAGAATGGCAGGTATGAATATGTTTGGCGGCCTCCAGCCCCTCTGCCCACCACCACTAACATAGGTGGCATGCCCTAAGAGATGACAAGGAAATATTGCATTAAGACGGGGTCTGCAATGGGGCTGGAGAGATGGCTCTGAGGTTAAGAGCACTGACTGCTCTTCCAGAGATCCTGAGTTCGATTCCCAGCAACCACATGGTGGCTCACAGCCATCTATAATGAGATCTGGTGTCCTCTTCTGGCATGCAAGCATACATGGAAGGAATATTGTATACATAATAAATAAATAAATCTTAAAAAAATGGGGTCAGCATGAAAAATCTCAAGTCTATGTTATTCTTACGGAAGGGAAAAGCAAAACTCGAGGGAGTTTTCAGGGACTGGGCCACTTGGTGGGTGGTTCTTTGGAATGCTTCCCAAGTACACATGTACACAGAGTGTCCTGGGTCTCATGAAAGTGCAGATCAACGGTGTATGAACTGGTATCTGGTTCGGGGCCTGCGACTCTGCGTTATGACCAACCTCCCAAGTGATGTCAGGGATGCTGATCCACAGACCACACTTTGAGCAACAAGCCTTAGCATATTCGTAAAAAGAGTTGTAAGCTACATTGGTCTCTAGGGCCACAGTGTGCCCAGATGGAAGCATTATGCAAATTAAAAGGTGCCCTTACTGCCTTGTTTGGCAAGCTGTGCACAAGCTGGCCTTCGGTGGGACACCCGCCATAGCCATCTGCAGCCGCCTGCTGGCCCCACTGCTAACTGTTTGCGTTTCCCATAGAACTGGAGGTTACTGAGTGGTTAACCAGCTGGGAACAAGACTCTCCCATCTGCCTTCACTCTCAGCCCTTGTACTCTATATTCAGCCCTTTCTGCCTGACTTTGGGGACCTAAAGCCTCAGAAGGTTTTCTGAAGGATGGGCTGGGAGTGTGCAGGTGTTCACTTGAGTGTGAGCCTTTCTCCCACCGCCTAAGATCCAGCGTCCATAGAACAGACCCACTGAACAATCGGACAGTCCATGGGGCTCCAGTAAGTACATCAATCAATCAATAATAAACAAAGGGCAGCTTGTCTGTTGGAAATTGGGGGAGGGTGAAAGGATGAGGGAGAAAGTCTGGATACAGGGTGTGCCCGGTTGGCCTCAAGCCTCCCACCCACCTCTGTCTTACACATGTCCTCTTTGAGCCCTGGTTTCCTTGTCTACAGGCTGGAGTGAGGGTTGGGGTTCTGTGATCATACCTGAGTCTGAAATGAGATGTCCTACAGGAAGCTTATCCAGTGCCTGACCCACTGTGGTGATCCACACCAGAACTTTCTGCATTCCAGGAGGAATGCATGGCAGGGAAGTTTAGGGTTCGTTCTCGGGAGAAATAACTTAGCAAGTGTTTGAAAGTCCAAGTGTGCTCCCTGTTTCTAGAACAGTAGACCCAGAGAGCCTCTAACACTATCTAGCCTGAGTCCAAGGCACTCGGCATTCAGATGGGCAGGACCAAAGTCCAGAAAAAGAGAGAGGAAGACATGTCCCAGCCCCAGAGCAATAGAGCAGCAGACCCAGCAACACATGAAGGTCCTTGTGAGGTCCCCAGCCCCTGACAACCCTTGACAGGTCTCTTCCATTTCTTGGACACATGGCTCTGCTACACATCTGAGGATCCCAAGAATCTGACCAGTAGAACATGCTAGAAGTGATGGTCACTACCCTTTATCCACTTCCTCCAGCCTTAGCCTGCCAATTAGACAGTTGTATGGCTCTGAATCCAGAAAATACTGGAGTCATTGCTTGGAGGAGAAAGGTCCAGCAAGAACTGTCTATAGCGGATTGTGGGACACTCCCGTCTTCAACCACTGCGGGTTTGCCTGTTTGTTGTTGTTTAAATTTCTATTATTATATGTAAGATTGCTTTGCCTACATGTATGTGTGTGCACCACATGCATGGCTGGTGGCCACAGAAACTAGAAGACAGTACCAGGTGAAATGAAGTTATGGATGGTTGACCCACCTGTGGGCATTGGAACTGAACCTGAGTTCTCTACAAGAGCAGCAGATGCTCTTAACGACGGAGCCATCTCTCCAGCCCTGTTTTGTTTGTCTTTGAGAGTCTCTTGCAGGCCTGGAAACCACTGAGATTTCTGTCACTGGAGCCCTCCTCCCACAAACATAGACACACGTTTTGCCACCTGTCACGGTTTTACTCTATATTTTCACAAGTAGAACAATTCAATCTGACTGAGCCAAAACTCAAGAAAAGCTTGAAGCCATTGTCCCAACCCAGCGGAGAGACACCCAGCTTACCATGGGTCCAGGGGCTCCATGCATTCCAGGTTCACCCTAAAACAGGAAATAGATGCTTGTCACTCAGGAGTCACTGTTTATGACACAACCAAAGCTGGCAAGCCAAGGCAGGGGCGGTGACAGGATTACCTTTCTCCCCTTCACCATTTCCAGAGGGACGTCCCCTGTCAGGATAGCGCCCGGCTCTCCCTTCTCACCCTGCAATGCAGAGAATCTTTTAAAGTCCAGCCTCCTCCTGCCACCTTGTTCAGGGGGTCTTTAAGACATCTCCACTCTGTCAGCATGACATCTCATCTTCAGACGACCCCTCCAGCCCCACCTCTTCAGCATGGCCTTCTTGCCAGAGGATAGAACAGCTGCTTGCATGATGGAATGTTCTCTGAGCTCTTCCTTCCATGCCTGGTTGAGTTCACTGTCCAAGTGCACTCTCAAGGGCTCTAACTGAGAACAGATACGTAGCCTCTTTCTCAGACCCCACTCCTGCCCCAGGATGGCTGTCTACTTCTTGCCATAGAATGTCCTTCCAGGAACCCCTGGCTCCTGACAGATTTGATAGTTTGCTTTTCTAATGACTTGAGATCTGTCTCTGTCAGGGATCCTTATTGTTGGTTAAACAGCTGAAATCCGGGGAGACAAAGCTGTAAGCATGGTGCATCTCTCAACACAGGAGTCTCCTGTCTTCACGTACAACTCTCCTCCAATCTCCAAGCCTCTGTGAAAACGCCTTATTGGTTAGGCCAAGCTATTCTATATACCGAGACAGAGATGATGGGTGGCTGGAGGACACAGGATCCTGCTCCTAAACCCCTGTCCTCAGTAGGTCATCTACTATCCCGAGACTTCCAGAAAGACATCCACGAAGAGAAACAAGGCCAGGTGGAGAAAGTAGCATACCTCTGGGCCTCCACAGTAGCCCTGGGGAACTAGGCTGGTCATACAGCAACCTCCTTTCCACAGTTGGAAGTGGCCAGGGTACCAGAGTGAGCAGCGAAGCCCCTCTCTCCATCCCCCAAAGGACGCAGCTAATATGTGGGTCTTACCACTTGGTTGGCGAGGAAAGGCAGTCCTGAGCAGCAGCAAGAGGCAAGCACAGAAGCATTAGATGCAGAGAGGCAGGAAGTGCAGTTGCTGGAAGGACCGGAGCAGAGCTGCCTGGTGTCTGCCCCAGACATTCAAAGTAGCAGAGGATTAGAGGAGGCAGGAGTAGCCCGTGGAATCTAGAGTCTAGGCCCACCAACTTTGCCACATATGAAAAGAAACATTGAAAGCAAGACCTGCCAGAGCCAACTCAAGTCCACCCCTCCTCTGCAAGCCCACGGCAGCGAAAGCACCCCAGACACCACCACGACCGTGTGCTTCCAAACGTTACCCAACACATTGAACTCCCTACTCCCTAGTGTTGAAGGCCAATAGCCTCTGGGGCCTCTTTCCTTGTCCTGGGGGTAATGTGGCACAATTGGGACAAAGGCCCAGAGAAAACTGCAGTTTCCGCTCCTCTCAGAGAGGATGCTTCTTCTCGACTCCCAGGGAGGTGTAGCCCCCTCTCTGCAGCCCCTGAAATAGCAGGATACTCTGCCCCCTGTCCTGTTATTGTCTTTCTATAATACTCGGTATAAGAAACTGCTGGGTCCCTTAGGGGATCATAAGATGGGAGAGGGAGATAGCACACACATAGTTGTGGGACTGAGTGAGTATAATCCAGAGTCACTGCCATCTATTCATGGACGTTTCTGTCCTCTTCAGCTATGAAACCTTCTAGGAAGTTGACTGTAAGAGGTCATGTGGGGGTGCAAAGGGTGGCTCTGAGTCCCGGGGTTCCCCAGGAGTACCCTGCATGACATGTACTTCAACTGCACAATGTCTAACTTGCAATCACCAAATACTGGAACTCATTTCATTCACTGATCATTATTCTTCCATTCAGCAAGTGTCTGGGTGTCCTTTGTGGGCCAGACTCTGTGCTAATCCCAGAGCTTCAGAAAAGTCTGTAGCCAGGAAGCACATACGATAACCAGGAGACAAGACGGGTCAACATGCGAGAACAGCGTTGAGCCGTACTTTCTTTTCAGATGGGGGAAGGGTGGAATCAACAGTGTGAGATCAGGGAAGTCATCAGATTGAGAGTATCTACGAAAAGGCACGGTATTTCTTTGGGATGATAAAAGAAAAAGAATTCAATGGGCTGGAGAGATGGCTCAGAGGTTAAGAACGCTGGCTGCACTTCTAGAGGACTGGGGTTTGAGTCCCAGCATGCACATAGCCCCAAATAACCTTCATTGTCTTCAGTTCCAGGGGATTTGATGCCCTTTCTGGCATCTGCAAGCACTGAGTGCATGTGGTGCACAGCCATGCATGCAGGCCAAATACTCACACACACACACACAAAAATAAAGTAAAAATCTTAACGAAAGAAAGCATCCTAGAATTAGAGAGTGTTGGTGGTTGTGAGTCTTCTCAACGTCAGTGTCGGGTCTGACTCTCCAGAAGGAAACAACTGGCCAAATGGAGGGAGACGGTCAGCCAATTGCAAGCGCTTCTCCACCCAGGCATCAGGGTCTTACCTGTTCTCCTTTTAGACCTGGGAATCCAGGCACACCAGTGTCACCTTTTGGTCCTCTGGGGCCCTGCAAAGAATTGTTGGAGGGCGCTGTGTTGATGGTTAAAAGGTTTTTACAGAAAAAGGAAAACATCTCTGTTTTTCTCTCTGTCTCTGTCTGTCTCTGTGTCTCTCTGTCTCCCTCAGAACAACCACTTATCAAGCAGGTAGAAGTCATGATTAACTTGATCTACTCCTAACTGTCAGAAGGCTGGAAATGGGACAGACGGCAGCATCGAGTGTTAGAGGCCTGGAGAGCGAATGAAGCATACTTTAGGGGTTAACCCAGTGGGGCATGTCAGGGACCTGGCTAGGGAACGACTCCCAGGAAGGCTGTTCACCTTAAGACAATGTACTTTTCCTTCCCAGGCCCTTGGTGCAGTTTCTATGGCGGGGGTTAAGGTTCTGCTGTGTCGGCCTCTCTTCCGTCAAGAGGATCTATTTCTTTTTCTTCTCTCCTGTCTTTTTCTTTGGGGTGCTGACCAGAGCCTAAGGATGCTTTTTAAAGTCCCTAATCAAAGATCTGTCTTTCTTGCTCTGTTTCTAAAGCCCCCACTCCCGCTATGTGGCTGTGGACCACCAGATGGCCGATGGCCGTGTTTATCTTTCCTTTCTCCTCCACCAGGCAGCTGTGAGATTTACAATTTGTCTACTCTGGGTTTTCCTAAATGCTAATGAAATGACCTTGTGCTTCCCACTTGAGTATGCTAATTCTTTTATTAATGAAACTAAGAACCCCAGAAGGAGACCCTGATTTCCATGGTGTATGATGGCTCGGTTGCTGAGACTCCCCAAGACTTCCAGAACTACCTCTTTCCTGTCTTTTAATTCCTTGATAGAGAAAATGAACCTGTCCCTACATCCCTAGACAGCATCACTCCTTTGAACATTGGTTTCCTATAGGTGGGCAGATGCTATTGGATCTGCTCTCATCTGGTCCTCCTGGGCTGACTCACCCACAGCTCCCCTGAAGCATCCTGTACCTGTCTGCTCAACATGTGCCCCACAAGATGGTATCTAGCATACTAGCTCGCCATTAATATTGACAGGACCTCACACTTCATCTCCCATGCCCTGGAGGTGACTCCCTTCCGTTGACCTCCTCACACTGGACCTGTTGTTGTTGAACTAAAGCTTGTGCCGCCCCTGCTGGGCTGCCTCACACCCTCTGCACTCTGCAGAGTCACATGGGGCATACCAGCCAGAGGCCATGCTGTTCAACTCCAGCAGACCCAGAGAACTGGTCACAGTGACTGGTCTAGTCATGGTGCCCACTGTCCCGAGGCATCTTGTTGCTTTATTGTTATTTAACCTTCCACAAGCCCTGTCTTGCCTCAAGGTGAAAGGGTACACTTCCATCACAGTGAGAACATGGAAATATTTCAGCGCTACTGTTTAGCGGCAAACTTTTCATTCTCTCTTTCTTTTTCAAATAATTTTAAATATAGGACAAATAGGCAAAATCAGTTAAGGGGGAACCTCACATCTGGGGTGTGTGGTCTGGATCCTGTTCATGACCCATCCCCCACTCCCTGCAGAGGCCCCTCAGAAGACAGGATCATTTGCATGGAGGAAGGCATGTTTGAATGTTCTGGAATGTGCTCTGAGTCTTGAAGTGACTGCCTTGGGGGCTGCAGCTAAGACGTGGGACCTCTTCTGCTAACGGTAATACTGCCTCCCCTCCCCCACTTCTGTTCTAATGTCTAGTGAACATGTTAATTTTTTACCATCATCATAGTTTATGATCATTTAGAAAATACAAATAAGTTCCCATGTATTTAAAAAAAGAAAACATGAGAAATTAAGAAAAATCTGAAAAGATAAAAAGGAGATCATCTACAGTTCAGCTGTCAGGAACATATTTTTATGACAGTTTTATCCATTTCCTTCATTTGTCCCGGAAGTGGCACCTCAGGCCTTTCCAAGCTGCAGAGTTTCAGAGAAGCAGGTAGGTCCCACCCTGGGGTCAGCCTTGGCCTTCTGCATAGGCACATACTCCAGACAAAATTGATTGCTTCTCATGCAAGAGCATACCACCCTCCTACAAAGGTGCACACAGGCTGTTAATTACAGCCCTCAGCTCTGTGACTGTCCTCTGTCCTCTCTACACCATTGCCTTCCTGTGTCTCAAGGGGCTTTATCTGCACAGTCTGCCACTTGAAACGCTAGGGTTACCCAGCTGCCCAGGGCTGGATGGCACATGGGTAGAGACAGAATACCTGGCCCTCTATAGTTGTCATAGAGTACACACACACACACACACACACACACACACACACACACACACACACACGGGAGAATCTGTCACTTAAGGCAAAAAAGAATCACAAAATGGTAAAATAAACCCAATGGGTCTCAAAGAAGGCGATGCTTCTGGAGAGGGCATGAAAAATGGATGCGTGTGTAGAGCTTGGTCATGCGTGGAGAGAGGGAAACAGCATCTCAGGGGCGGGAACAGGATGAGCATAGTGCCTGAGCGCAGGTGGACACTGACCGCTACAGTACTTACTGGAAATCCGGGTAGCCCAGGCACACCATCCGGCCCCTGTAACACATGGAGGACAAAGAGTTCTCAGAGTCAGAAGTACTGTGCCTCAGGGGCCACTGTCCCTCAGGAGGGTATCAGCCCAGGCCTTTTTATCCAGCAGGGTCCACTGTTCCCCCAGGACCCTGCCAAAGATCCAAGCCTATTTCCACCCAGTGTGAATCCCTGTCCCATGTTGTAGAAGGGGGTGCTGGAGACTGGGAGGGAAAGTGCCACCAAGTCACACAGCTGTTGGTGATGGCAGCAGGGACCGTCCTCAAGTACCCAGGGGCTCACGCTGCTCCTCAAGTTGCCACTGTCCCTTACTGAAGCTTCCTCTGCATGACGTCACTCAGTGTGCAATTCCCTGGAGTGATGGGTTAGTCAGCTCTGAAGATGGACTTGAGGATAGGCTGGGGGGCTGGGAGGAGACGTGGGTACATGCTGGGAGTAAGACTTTTATTAAAGAGATGGCGACTTTTTAAAGGACATGACAAATGGAGTGTGTGCTTCACCACACAGGGTCACAGTCCCCATTTCTGCCAACTCCAGAGATCTGATGAGCTAGACAGATCAGAGGAGATAGATAGATAGATAGATAGATAGATAGATAGATAGATAGATAGCTAGCTATTTAGTTGGATGGATGAATGGATGGATGGAGGATGGATTGATGAATGGATGGGTGGATGGATAAATAGATGGTAGATAGATAGATAGACAGATGAATGGGTAGATGTATAGATGATAGACAGATAGACATAGATAGATAGATATTTAGACGGATGGATGGAAGGGTGGATGGATAGATAGATAGATAAATAGATGATAGATAGAATAGATGGATAGATAGATAGATAGATAGATAGATAGATAGATAGATAGATAGATGGATGAATGGGTAGATGGATAGATGACAGACAGACAACCAGATAGATAGATGGATTAATAACTAGATGATAGATAGATGGATGAATAAATGAATGAATGGGTAGATAGAGATAGATAGATAGATAGATAGATAGATAGATAGATAGATAGATAGATAGATAGATAGAGATAGACAAGAACTAGAGAGGGGTCAGCAAAGTAGCTCTGCAAATAAAAGTGCTTGCTGCCAACCTTGATGATCTGAGTTCAATCCCTGGAATCCATGTTTAAAAAGAGGTAGAGCGAACCAGCTCTACCAATTTGTTCTCTGACCTCCACATACACTCCATGGCACACATACATGTTACCCTTTCATAATACCCCCTTCACTACACACACACACACACACACACACTGTCAATAAATTAGATTTTAAAAACAACTAGATAGAAACAAGCGTCTTAACCCACTGGTTATGGGGGAAAGGGGACATGAAGGTAATGACTTGAGTCCTCTTAGGAGGAAGCTGCCACAGAGAAAGGTGAAGCTTGATCCAGCCTCAGGGGTGAGGGGGGCTGAATTCACCCTCAGAAGGACATTAATGGGGAAGGAAGTGTGGAAGGTGAGGGATGGAGCGTAGGACCCAGGCTAGGGCTCAGCAACACAGAGTGCCTTCTTGAGGTTAGGCTGTATCGCTTGCTCTACCATCAACCACTCCCCCAACATCATGCATGACCAGCCTCCCTGGGTGGGCTTCCCCAGAGCATCTGCTGGGCACAGTTGTGGGCATGCACCTTTGGCTCCACAGTGACTTGCTGAGTACCATGGTGTGATAAGCACTTTTACCTCCCCCATTCAGCTATCCCAAAGTCCGGAAAAGAACCAGGGACTCTGAGTGGCCTGCCGAGACAAGGCTGGACCTCAGGGCTCCTATGGCCAGCACTGTCCGCCCCCCCCCATACCCATCAGATGCCATGGGAGTTTATTGAACAACACGAATTTGCTTCCTTCTTTTGAGACCCTATCAAGTATGTGTAAATGTTAAAGCTCTCTTCCTTTTGACTTTGAGAGCTCCAGCAGCTAAAAGGATTCCAACCCAATCCAACACTTCCAAGTGGGGATCTGGATAGAAGCCTCACTCAGGCGCAGCCACAGATACAAACCGGAGGTCCCATAAGCTCAGGAATGTCCGAGAAATTCATGAATCCATTAGTGATGTTGAGCAAAGACTGAAAGAGAAAAATTACTCAGTGAGAACAGAGGACGGCTTGTGCTTCTCCTTGCTTCTGGCAAGGAGACCTTAATTGAAGTCACCCAGCATGGAGTGAATTGATACATTGATCACACCTCAAAGCCACTGCCAAACACTCCCAACCCTCCCACTCCCTGTCAAACAGTCCCAGCCTGCCAGTCACTTTTTAATTAACTTTAAAATTACTCAGGAGATGAATGTTTTCTCTTTTAAAATTGTAAATGTATGTATACATACATACGTATATACACACATACGTACATGTGTGTCCATATATATGTGTGTGTGTATGCATGCATGTATGTACGTATGTGCAAAATAACTCATGTATGTCATTATTTTACATAAAAGGCATCAGGCTGTGTGAACTCCCCTTCGACTCATTCTTTTCCACTCAATCATCTTGTGTGGAGAGCTTTCCATGTGCAATTCTGGAAGACATCTATTTTTAGTTTGAACAGACTGTCAGGGAGCCCTCCAAAGGGGCTGTGCAATTTACACTTCCCCCACAAGCACTCAAGATTGTCTATTTCCCCACACACTTGGCACTTTTAAATCACACTCTTTTCCTCTTAACTCTGGTCATTCTTTTTTCTAGGTCTTTGGGACTTTATTTTCCTTTCTCATGTCTGCCTGTTTGGTTGTTATTCTCTTAGAAGCACCATGGTCTTTCTCAAAGGCAATGGCCTAGTATGTGTATATCTGATGGACAGAGGGATGGATGAAAGGATGGATGGATGGACAGGTGGATGGATGAGTGGGTGGATGGATGGATGGATGGATGGGTGGGTAGGTGGATTGGATGGGTGGGTGGATGGATGGGTGGGTAGGTGGATGGATGGGTAGGTAGGTGGATGGATGGATATGTGGATGGATGGATGGATGGATGGATGGATGGATGGATGGACCGGTGGATGGGTGAGTGGGTGGATGGACAGACAGGCAGACACACATCTGATCTAGCCATAATTCAGCTTCTCTCTATCACTCTAGTAACCCTCAAGTCTACTACCCACTGCCAGCGAGTTCCTGGTGTCCTGACACACACAGCCAGCACAGTTCTGTCTGTCTCCTCCCTTGACTCAGGGTGCTGCTGCCACCAGAACACTGAGAGTCACCGAGAGTCCTATTCGCATGCCTGCTCAGGAAAATTCTCCTCTCTTGTCTAGGCCCTGCCCAAAGATACTTCCTCCAGAAAGTCCTCCTTGATTTCTCCGGGCTATGGGTCACACTCTGCCCCAGTCTTCCTCTTAACTGTCAGGAGTGCTTGCCTCTTAGTTACTTTAAGCCCTGGGCCTGGTGCAGGCCATGAGTGCAGGAATGTTTGCATCAGTGTTTCTTTTTGTTGTTTTTTTGTTTTGGTTTTGGTTTTTCAAGACAGGGTTTCTCTGTAGCTTTGGAACCTGGCCTGGAACTAGCTCTTGTAGACCAGGCTGGCCTTGAACTCACAGAAATTCAACTGTCTCTACCTCCTGAGTGCTGAGATTAAAGGCGTGCACCACCACCACCCAGGCATGCATGTTACCGGTAGGCACAGAGATTTCAAAGGCACTCAGATGAGGACAGGCAGAAGACCAGGAGCTCGTAGGAGGACAGGCAGGTTAACAAGTCTTTGCTTTGTGATATGGATTAATGATGACATCAAAATCACACATTACTACTTCCCTGGGAATGGGGGTCAGTGTGGGGAGAGCTTGCTCTGCTCATCCGTGCAGAGAGCTTTCCAAGTGAAAATTTGGAATCTGTCTATTAATAGTTTTAAACAAATTGCTAAAGAGACAGCCAATGAGCTCATCTGAAGATGCCTCCCTGACAAGAACTGGCCCTCAGGGGTATAATCTGAGGATAAACCTCATGATATATATATATATATATATATATATCTGGCTTCTCTTGGTCTCTTTACTCCTACCCCGGAAGATGGAGAGATGGAGGGTGCTTTCTGATGGCAGTTTGGGGCATTCTCAACACTGTCCTTCACTCTCTTGTCTGACCCTGGAGTTAGTGAGCAGGCATGTATGGCTCTCCCACAGGGTGGAGGCCACCAGCCTCCACATACCGTCTGCCATCATTGAGCAGACATATGCCGCTCTTCCATAGGGTGAAGGCCGTTATCACCCCCTTGGCCAGCAGTGAGCAAGTGACCGCAGGCCTGCGTCTCCAGCTTTGACTTTCTTTCTCAACTAGTTCAGAACCTCAGTCAGTTGAGAAGGCAAGCCAGATTTATTTGGGGCTTCCTCAAGATTCCAGTACTTTCTAGGCTGCTATCTGACCTCAATCTTGCCAAGTAGACTCTGCAGGTCATATGTAGGAGTGCGGTGGCATGGAGGGGTAGGGACAAACAAATAGGTGAGCTTGCTGGCAGGTGCAGGCCCTGACACTCTACATAGCCACCAGCCCTGTAGTCCTGAAGAGTCAGGTGACCTGCTGTCCCCTTTAGTAAAGCAGAAGGCACGTGGCCAAGCTCCAGTCTGGATGATACTCACACTGGACAAGACTTCGACACGCCCAGGGGGCCCTCTGGGCCCAGGGGGGCCCACAGTGCTGGTTCCGTCCCTTCCCTGTTCGCCCTAGTTATAGTAGAGGGAAGTAAGAACAAAGCTCTTAGTCCATAGATAATGCTTCTATAAGCTTCTAGGAAGACACCCACCTCAGATGGGGCTAACTTACCTTGGGTCCTTGTTCTCCTTTTTCTCCTTTGGGACCCTGACAGAAATAACCAAACAGATGAAGAGACATTCTTTGGTTTTCTCCTGTCTGCTGGTGCGGTCAGTCTATTGCCAACTCTCCCTAATTTCTGTAATCAATGCTATACCAGGTGATGGAATCAAAAAGTGGGGGAAATGCCCCTTCCAGGGTCAGAAGAGAAGTGCCCGCAGAGGGCAAGCCTCAGAGGCCCTCTCCCAGCCTGGAAGTGTCCCCGACTCCACCCTCGGATCCTGTGTATACACGAAGCTTTGGTTTTGTTTTGTTTTGTTTTATTTATTTTTTTTTGTTTGTGTGTATGTGTGTGTGTGTGTGTGTGTGTGTGTGTGTGTGTGCCAAAAGTTATTCCCTGGGCACTTGGCATTGTTTCATGTCACAAAGATCATAAGATCCAGTGGAGGGTCTTCATGCAGGCTTACCACAAAGGGCAAGGGCAATGCCTTCTGGGGACGAGGGAGCATGCAGGGCACCTGCTGGGAGCAAAGCCTTTTCAAAAGGGGGGCAAAGTGACTCTAACATGGTGACAGGAAGCCACGAAGCAGAGATGGCCAGTAGTGAGGAGCTGGCCAGTGGGAACAAAGGTGACTATTAAGTTTCCCTACATGAGTCTGTGAGAAGCTTCTGTGTGGCCCCTGGAGAAAGAGCCTGTGATAAATACCTGATGGGCTGCGCAGCTCGGGGTCAGCAATAAGCACCTTACAGGCTGCAATAAGCACTTTAGAGACTGCACATTTTGGACCCTGTGATGAGTACCTTACAGCCTTCAATGAGCGCCTTACAGGCTGCACGGCTCAGGGCTGGAGTGTGTGACTCATGAAAAAGAGAAAGGCCAGGTACGCCCCCGGCCCCCCCCCCCCCCCCGGGGCCTCTTCACTCAGGTATGATAGCAGGACGGTGCTCATAAAAGGGTTCGTAAAAGTCTACTTACACTTGGAGAAGAGGGTCCCGTGAGTCTGGGTTTGCTCAGCGGCTGGATGTCTCCCGAGCCTTCGAAGTCCTCGGGGAGAAGAAGAAGCGAGGATTTCAGAGCTCACTGCCAGGAGGAATGCTGGGGACTGGGGGCTCGCAGGGAGCTCAGCAAAACCTCTACCCTCGGGTCAGTACCCGGTGTGCTGTGCCTTCTAATGGTCCTTCCTAACCATCACTCTGCAGCCATGGAAAGGGCGAAAGTACCTCAAATCCAAGCTCTGTTGTACATCCAGGGCCTGGAGGGCCAGGGGGTCCAGGAGGCCCCGGTGGTCCCATGACCCCAGGAGTGCCAACTTGTCCATTTTTTCCTGGGGGTCCTGGTAAGCCTCGGTTGCCAGGGTCTCCCTGTAAGGAAGAAGACAGGAGAGTTACCAGCTGCAATTCTCCCAGGGAAGAAGAGTGTGTGCACCTGAGTCAGAAGTGGACTCCTTGAAGCTAATTAAGTTGAGAAATTCTCTGATGGGCGCTGCTTGACGGCCCAGAACAGCTGCCTCGCTAATTGACATTTCCCTTTGCCAACATGCTCACCAGAGCGGTGAGGAAGGGGGAGCATTGCAGGGGTACGCTCCCCACTGTCCCAGCAGGCCTCTCTTCACTGAGCCACTGCTCTGAGGAGTGCTTCTCTTTGCCCTGTGACATTTATGGGTTCACTCCACTGGCCCACGGGTACACTGATAGCAAAGGGAAGTGGGGGGGGGAGGGAAAAGCTGTTCTCAATTACCTTCTCGCCAACGGAGCCATTACGTCCTCTTGCTCCCTGAAACACATGAACACCGAGGCCAATTAAGATGCATCGTACTAGTGCTGCTCAGAGGAAAATACAGCATTACAGTCATTGAGCAGGATACAACGGGATCGTTCTATCTGGGATTGGCTGGTGTCTCCAAGCTGAGCACAATACCACGGCTATCAGTCTGCTGAACAAGTCAGGCCCAAATCTCGAGAAACCCATTCCTCAATAATTAACCAACTCTATCCCCACCCCCTGCCTTTGAGATTAAACTAAAGGAGCTGGCCTGAAGCAGTGTCTTGGAGACTCACACTGAGGAGGCTGACTCCCGCCGCCCCACCCCCACCCTCTGCCATGACGGAGGTAAGGGGTGCTTCCAGTTTTAAACCAAGAGAAGAGGCTGATTCTGATTATTGGTTTAGTTGGGTTGAGGAGCACCTTGAAGATCTGAAAGCACACTTCTGGGCATGTCTGTGAGGGAGTCTCCAGAGAGCATTACATAAGAGAGTAAGACCTGCCCTGAATGTGGGTAGCACCATTCCAGAGGCTGGGGGCCCATGGGTCAAGTTGGAAGAAACAGGGAGCCAGCTAGCACAACATCCATATCACCCCAACCTCTCTCTCCGCTGCCAAGGGAGTTCCCAGATTCGTTCTGCTACATCTCTTGCTGCCACACTTCTGCCTCACCACGGCCCAGACACAAACAATGGAGCTAGGCAAGCAGGCCTGAACCTCTGCACCTGTGAGCCCAAGTAAGACTGTTCCCCTGCAGGAGACTGTCCAGACATTACGTGGCCACACAGAAGCTGCGACATTGATTATGACATGCCCGCCACTGAAGACTGTATCTCTCCTTGCCTCTTTCCCGGGCTAGATCAAACCCACAGAAATAACCCACACCACCCACAGGCTGGGTGGAGAGGCTACAATACCCATCTTCAAATAAGATGGGAGTCACCTGGCCGGAAGTAATTAGGAATGCAAACGTGAAACAGACAGGAAGCCGACAAGGTCTTTGTCACAGAGAGGAACTGTAGAGACCGAAAGGCCCTGCATAGTAGAGGAGAACACAAGAGCAGGAGGCAGCCCAGGAGGAGGCAGAAGTAGGGGTGACCCTGGAGGAAGCAGAAGTACCCCAGGAGCCTATGACAGGGAGACAGACTGAGTTCCTACATCAGGACGGCCGCCAACACCAACCAGCTCCCCTCACCTTCAAGGCACACCCCTGTCAAGGAGCACCTGTGGGTGCCCTAGTACCACATTAAAAAAATACTAATTCTTTTCAGGAGCAAGGTGGGGTAGAGATCTGGAAGCTTAGAAGGTGCATGGGCACCCAAAATGAGATCAGTTTTGGAGGAACTCTGTCTGATGGACAGTCTACTCTTACGAGGGTAAGAAACTCACAAGCCTCAGATGCAGTCACTGCCAACTTCCTTAATGGCCTGCGCCAACAGCGGCCTAAGAACGAAACGGGGATGCCAATTTTGAAAGCAAACACAGAGGAAGAACCGGCAATCTGAGGGAAGGCAACACTAGGAAGGAGACAAAGTCAACAGCAGAACAAAGGGAACGAATGTAACCAGAACTTTAATATACTCAGAGAGAAAAGGGACGGTATTATGCAACCTTGAAACAAGAACCAACTATTATGAGATGAGAATTAGCTCAGAATAATGGTTATGAAAAAGAACCAGTTAGGAGTCATGGATATAAAAACATATCATGGTTAAAAATGAAGAACTCTATAGGGATAAAGGAGACATATCCCACAGAGAAAATTAACAGAGAAAACCAAAGACCAGGCTACAGAATTGCTCCAAAAGGCAGCACAAAAGAATACAAAAGAATAAAAGACCCGGAAAGAATGACCAAATGGAGCTCCGAGGATAGGCAGGAATTCTGATATCTGATCAAATAGAATAAAAAATAAAGAGAGTAGAGAAAGCAGCATGAGAGAGCAGTGACCAGACGATCCTGCACTTGACCTCAGCAGCAGGAACCAGACAGTCCTGCACTTGACCTCAGCAGAGGGCAGGGGGCTACACTGAGCACTTCTGCAAAACCAAGAAACAAAAACACCACCATCCAGAGGTCTCCAGATTAAACAACACCCACCCCAAGGCTAGTTAGTACCAAATGGGAGAATCCCATCCAGTGACAGGACATGGGGGGTTTCAATACGTCAAGGGAAAAAAAAAAGACTCCTGAAATTTGCCAAAGGGAAAAGTCAGATGGCCTTAGGTAGGTCAAGCACGGCAACGAAATCTGTCCCAGAAAACAGTGAGACTACCTTCAAATCTCAGGGGCAAATGGTTTCAAATTTAAAATTGCATACACGGCTAAATAAAACATGATGCCATTATTATGGTTCGCAACTCCCTATCTAGACCAGGCTGGCCTCAAACACATAGAGATCCACCTGCCTCTGCCTTCAGGGCGCTAGAATTAAAAGCATGCATCTGCACATTAGGCTAAAAGGAGAATTTTAAGCAGCCAAAATCTAGAAAGTTTGCAAGGACCCTCTCTGAAAACACTACAGGGATATGGTCCTGCGAGAACAGTTGAGGAGGAAGCGCAGGATGTGGGAAGAAGTGAAAGGTGACTGCTTTTGGAACTACACATTCACTCAAAAGGTTGCCTAAGGCAGGACTTCTGTCCGTCTGTCTGAGTCCAACACACTTCCTCGTCCAGTGGCTTGGCCAAGACACAGGTAGGAAGCCAGGAACTGAATAATTCTCAGGTTCCTTCCAGTTGGCTCTGGGAATGCTTGCTGGAGATGAGCCTAAACAAAGTTCTTCAGATGACCAAAAAAAGTGAGAGCATCCCTGGAAAGCCCGGCACTGAGACAAACCACTCATAGACCCAGATAGCCATCCTCCCTCTTTCCAGGCTCAGCCGCTGCAATAATCTTCCTCAGGCCCCCGGGGCTCCCTGTGTGAGGCTCAGGATTCTCTGGTGAGGGCTGTCCAGGAGTGTTGGGACGAAGACAAGTATGTGTGGGGCATGGGGAGAAGGTCCCACATCTCAGTAATAGTTCCTTAGTTGGGAGACCCTGCTAAGTCCTTGGGCTAATCAGGTAACAGCAGAAAAAGCGTTGGGCCTGACAAAGGAGGCTCCAGACCCCAGGGCAGGGAAAGCATGCTGGAGTGCACCAAATTGTGCACTCAGATCATTCGGTAGCTGGTCCTAGGCAGCCTGGCAGAACCCCTGGTGCCTCCCTAGCTCAGGAGTCACCAGTGATGCCCTGGCTCTCTGGGGATGCAGAAGGAAATGGAACACTAAAGAGAGCAAGAAGTCATGCCCAGAGCCATCATCCCCACCCCAGCCCACCCCAGAAACCAACACAGGCAAACTGAGCAATTAAGTGGGACCTTTTACCAGGGGCAGAAACGTTTCTCAGTTACTGAGTTCCTACTGAGCTACCAAATGTCAAGACTGAGGTTTCTTAATTCTATTCCTCTTGGGTGTGAGCAGTTAGTTAGACTCTGTGTACTACCAGCTTTAGCCCCTCCTTAAGAAAAGTATCTACCTCTAGCCACACATATCAAGCTACCGGCAGAGACCTTATAATCACATTTAAAACGGCCCCATCTCTGAAAACATTCAGCTGTGCTTCCAACTGATGCCATTAAAGAGAATTATTACCACGAAGTGGGAAACCGCATTGTTTTCCATTACTTTCCAAGTTTGTTTAAGCCAAATGCAGCTTGTAGCAGGTTGAGAGGAAGTTCTAGAAGCCATCTTAGTCCCTGATCTTTCTCTCTGATTATTTTAACACAGCTGGAACATGCTGAGAAGGTAGGACTTTATGTCCGGTCCACGGCTCACGGGTATGGGGGCCAGCAGTTTAGTCAGGGGACGGAAGACTCTAACCTACTAGAACTTTCATGAGTGAGTAGGGTGAAAATTGAGAGCTTTAATAAATAGTTCAGGAAATAATCTGCTTCCCGAAACGGGGCAGTAGCACACACCACTCCTTAGCCGGAAGGAATTTGTGTGCATTGAGTCTAGGCACTTTCTTGGAACTCCACCTTGTAAAGCCACGTGGTTATGAGTGGGAAACTGTAGAGGCTCACCCTCCACAGCAGAATGAGTCACAATATCACAATAGGGTTCTGTGTCACAAGATCATAGTTCAGAATTTAAAAAGTTATATATATTTTCCGCTTTGAGACAAGGTCTTACTATGTAGCTCTGGCTGGCCTGGAACTCACTATACAGATTAGGCTAGCCTCAAACCCTTAGAGACCCTCCTGTTTCTTCCTCCACAGCACTAGGATGAAAGGGGTGCACTACCATGCCTGGCCTGTAGTTCAGAGTTTGTGATGATCAATCTTGACTGTCAGCTTGATTGGCCTGACAGTGTTGAGATCAGCAAAGCATACTTCTGGGCATGTCTGTAATGGTGTTTCCAGAGGGGATTAAATAAGGAGGGGACGCCAGCCTGAGTCGGGTTCAGATGGAACAGAAGCGGAAAAAGGAGAGCTCCTAGCTCAGGCACGCACTCTGCTTTCTGGCCAACGTGAGCTGCTTTGCACCTGCCCCACCAGAGACTCCCACCATGATGACCTGAGCTTCTGACCCCTCTCTGCCCCACCACGGACTCCCACAACTACGAGCTGACATCTCTAAACCTGAAAGCAAACCCTCCCACCTCTTCTCAGGTGTTCTGTCACAGCACAAGAAGGCTAACATAATTCATTAGAAGTTCTGACTCATTGTGGTAAACTAAATTATCAAAGGCATTACAAGGTGTCAACATACAGGAACACAGAAGAAGACAGCCTTTTTTCTTCTTTTTTTTCAGGTTTGTCTGCTGAATTTGTTCTTGGAGTTAGTATTAATAATAATTTCATCTCAGGAGCCCCTACAGACTTCAATCTCTTTGGCTTTATGGAAGCCTGGCATGCAAATGTTGTGCCAAAGCCAGCTGCTAATGAAAGAGAGAAGATGGAAGCTGAGCCAATATTGTGATGTGCTGGACTTCAAACACAGCTGGTTTCTGGATTCTGGGCAAAAGCAGCACGATGCTCAGAGTCCTCAAGGGTACCCTGATGATGTTACATGAATCCCAAAGCAGATTGGGATTGCTAAGAGATGGGGACAGTGGTGATGATGTCAGCAAACTTCTCTTCTAACTTACGAAAAGACAGAAGTTGGGTCTACAGCGACATTATCAGCCCAGTGAGATTACTCCAGTGAGGTTCCCCAGTGATTCTGGGTACTTGAGAAAACTTCAGAGGACAGACTTTTCCTGTGTGGGTGTCTCAGAACCTTCTAAGGCTGAGGAATAACTTGAACGCCCTGGATCCTGACGACTTCATGCCCTCAGTCATCGTAAAGCTGGGAGCAGAAGCTGCAGTGTATAAAGCCGTGGTGTCTGAGGACCCTGCTCTCTAGCAGGCTCTTCAGCTTCTGTACCAGATGTGCTCTGCAGCTGGGAAAGTAGGCCACTTCCATGTCCTTCTGCCTGGGATAAAGGTGTCAGTTCAGCTTAGTGTGGGGAAAAGAAGAGATACTTCTGTTTATACTAAACATCATAAATAATCTACTAGCTACACTCTTCATGACCACCCTTGATGACAGGTTCATGTGTGATAATGATGGTTATAGTTAAGTGTATGAACTTTCCCAGACAAGTAAATCAAGCCTTATTCATTATGCGGGGGGGAGGGGACCTCACTTTGAGCTGGGCGTGGGAGCGCACACGTGTAGATCCAGCATTTGGGAGAGAGAGGCAGGGGTGTTAGCGTTCAAGGTCATCCTCAGCTTTTACAGCGTTTGAGGTCAACCTGGGCTGCACGGGACTCTGTCTCCCAACAACAACAACAACAACAACACACACACACACACACACACACACACTGACACATGGGCTGTTCTGTGTGCCTGGCGGATAGCATGAGAAAAGACTTCCTCCAGCTCAGTCTATCCAGCCATGGGAGGCACTGTCTAGGCCTTATTGATGAACCTGTGTAGGTCACAGCAGACACTGGCAGGAGATGGGGTCAAATGCACCACTGGTCCTCATTCTCATAAGAGTCCCAAAACACTTATTTCTGACTGACTCCCCTTCAACTCTCCAAATGCAAATGTGCAAATCCTTCCAGAATCTGCTTTTGCTTAACCCAAAAGCGGTCCATGTACCCGGCACAACATGGCGCCTCTTAACAAGCCCCAGGGATAAACCAGCAAAACTGATCTCCAGAGGTCACCCAGGGCAGGGCCACTCCTCCTGCCTGCTGCTCTGTGAGCCAGCTGCAGCTGACCGGGGCAGCAGGAGCAGCACACGGGTGTCTTCAGGCACAGACAGTGTGGGAGGACCAGCCGCTGGCTTGGAGGCGCTGGCAAGGTAAGTGTGGGTTGGCGGCGCTTCCTGCAGACCTAGATTTCTTACGAAACCGTTGGTTCGCATAAGATGAGTTCCCTAAAATCTCACAGTTGTGTCTTTTTCTGAGAAATTCATTTGCAACCAAAATCAGACTACTCTTTCCGTTAAGTTGGTGGAAACTGGATTGGATTGAGTGGCCAGGGTGTCCTGGAAGGAAGCATTTCAAACATGTTCACAGAGGTGACACACGGGGCTCAGCCTCCTATCCAGTGGGTGCCTTGAACCCTCATTCACCCTATTAGCGCATCCCTAGTGCAAATTGCCTTTTAAAAGCATTTATTATCTCTCTGTGCAGAAAGAGACTTGTCCTCATTTTGGCTGGGAAGGCTGCAGGGGCAGGAATTGCCTTCTCCCAGGAGCACCAGCATAGAAGACAGTAGGCAGACAGACCTGCCAAGAAAGACGGAAGGCAGGCTAACTAGAAATGGTAACTTAAAATGGTGCTTGAAGAATAGCCCACTTCTTCATAAAAGACTAATAGAGACCCGTGCCGGTTGAAAGGCTGTTTCGACTCTATGGCGGGAGAGGATGTAGGGTACACAGGCTGGCTAGCATCTTCTGTGTCACTGGCTAGGAAGGTTCTCAGCGACATTTACCATGTGTTCACAGAAAGAGGAAGGAGGGCGGGTGCTGGAAGAGTTGAGAGAAGTCAGGCATTATGCAACATCTCTAATCGTAGCCCTAGACATTCAGCGGAGGAATCACAAGTTTGAGGCAAACCCCAGCTGTGTAGCATGACCCTGCCTCAACAAGCCTCAAACAAAATACTAACCCCAAATGAAAGAATGAGGAGGAAGACATTCAGGGTCCCCCTCACCTTATCCACGGTTCTACTCTGTGGTTTCAGTCAGCCACAGGTTGAAATTATTAAATGGAAAATTCCAGAAATGAGCAAGTCACAAGGTTGGCATCACACACCATTTTGAAGAGCGTAATAGAATCTTTCAGCTTCCTGCTTCATCCATCCCAGGACACGAGCAATTCCTTGGTCTAGCATATCCATGTTGTATATACTACCCACCCACCAGTAACTTAGCTGCCACCTTGTTATCAAACCAAGTATGGTATCATCCACCCGTTCCTTAACCTTTATTTTACTTAATATTGACACCAAAGCGAAGGGTAGTGATGCTAGCGATTTTGTTATATTGTTATGATTGTATCATTGGTTACTGCAGCTAATTTTTGTTGTGCTTAATTTAGAAATTAAATGGATATGTATGCAAAAAAGCACAATATATATGTGGGGAAGAGTCTTGCAACACAACACTTAGGATAAAGGAGCGTCACTGTATCTGAACTGGGCCTTGATGACAAAGAGACACGGCATTCCAGACGAGGCAGATAACACGTGCAGATTTAGAAGCTGGCAAAGAAGAGCACGCAGCAACTGGCTTGTTGCTCAGAGCTGGAGCAGTGAGCAGTGGGCTATGCGCTGCGGAGACAGCTGGTGCTAATGAAGACGGGCATTAGGGCTTTGCCCGACAGACTGCCGCTAGCATTTTCTCAGGAGTCAGAGAGTGCCCACTACATGAAGGTGGGCGGGCACGGGGGGGGGTGACTGTGGGTAGAAAGGACATCAGTGAGGGTCCTAATGCTACAGGGTAGGCAGAAAGAGATGAATGGTCAGGGTGCACAGAACGGTCACAGGTATAGAAGTCACTCTTGACAACGGGCCAGTGATGACAGGGAAGGAATGAGAAGACAGAGTCTGGGAAGACAGGCCCCAGGGTGGATGGTGGCACTGCCATTCACTGATGCTAGGGTACACAGGAGTGGGAAGGAGAAACAGACGAGAAAACTGTGAACTGAATCCAATAGAGATGGCCGAAGAGAATGAAAGGACAAACTCAGGTTGGAGGTCGGAGAGTAGCCAGGCTGGCTTCCTGTGCTGGGACCTCACACCCCATACCTTCTCTCCTTTCATCCCAGGCTTGCCAGAGGCTCCATCAAGTCCAGGCTGTCCCTCGGGGCCCTGCAGAATATATGACAATCAGCTCACCACATGGCTGCTAAAGACCACACAAAACCCTACCTAGGAAGTAGGAAAGGTTGAGCGGACACAAGGCCAGTGAGCACAGGGCTAGCTGCTGGTGCCCCAAGACGAGCATCCTCGGCTCTCTGAAATGTCCTCGGAGGAGGAGGGAGGACATCAAGAGCAGCACAGGACCAGATGTCCTCCAAGGCTTTCCCACACCAGGTCTAACTCTGGTGCCCTGTGGCAGGTTCTGAAATCTCCATGAGCCTGCACTCCTACCCCACCCCCATATGAATCACAAAGCAGTGCATCTGGCATCTTCTTGGTTGTCTTTCCGTGGAGTCTCAGAAATGACCCTGAAGGGGAAGATTTTGGTCCCCAGCCTTGAATGGTGCTGGGCCTGTAATCTGTCTGTGAAAGGAAGCCCCATGAGCGCAGAGCGAAGGAGGAGGCTTTGATTGCTCACCGGAGGTCCTGGCTCACCAGTAGCTCCATCCTCTCCAGGAGAGCCAGGGGGTCCCATGAAAACATCCGTTCCTGGTTTTCCTGGAATCCCAGGTGATCCAGGTGGGCCTGGGGGACCCGGAGGACCCTGAAAAACAGTGTATTGAAAGTAATGAGAGAGGGTGAATATACCAAGCATGTTTTTTTTCTTTAACCTCCTTTCCAATCCTCGTAACAATCCCGTAAGGAAAGAGTGGGGTTCTCACCTTGCATAGGGAGCAACTGAGGCTCAGTGAGACAACACAACTCTAGGAATCTTACACACACGGTTGAAAAGCAGCGGAACTGGCATTTGAATGTAAGGTTTTCCAAGCAGCTCACGCCAGGCTTTCTCCCAAATGGCGTAGATACGATAACGAACCAATTAGCTGGAGTCCCAGAGGAACCCTGGATAATTCTGCTTTCTAATTGACTGTAAGGTCAGCCAAACAGCCTGTGTTTGACCTCGTCCTGAAACACTTTCCAAAGTGGACTTGTTTCCTTAGCCTCCTGCTGACTGTCGGATCTCACCAGCCCAGACTGTTCCTGGTAGATCCACTAGGCTTTCACACCATGGAACCCAGCAGGGGCAGCCAAGTGGAGCATCAAGCTGGGGCAGCATGGCGGCTCAGGGGAAGGGCTGGAGAGAGGCCTGGGCCTAAGGATGGAGCAACAGCTACATGGAGAACCAGCCACACTCCCCTTGTGGGTAATTTAGAGAGGACTAGTAAAACCAGTCTTGGGCACACCAAATGTATCACGGGCACCAAGAATGGTCCAAGAGCAGACTGGGGGCCAGGGAGGGTTTCACACTAGAAATTTACCATGAAATGCTATTCAAACAGAGCAGGGACCAGGGTAATTCTTTCATAGGTAAAGGGTAGGGTAGGAGCCATGGATAGAAGTGAAAGTCAGTGAACAAACTTGCTGTGAAGAGATGGGAGCAGCTTCCAGAGAAAGGAGGACGGTGGAGAAGAGAGAGATCTCAATGCAAATCTAGGCTCGCCCTTGAATAAAATGAGACGGAAATGCCACACATGTGAAAATAAAGGGGAAATGTGTGATGATCCCCACAGATGCCAGGAAACAGTCTCTAAGGGCCCGTCTACTTTCATCGGTTGTCTGACCCCACAACGTTCCCTTCCGGGTCCCCAACACCAGCCCCCAGCACTCCTAATACTCACTCTCAACAGATCCTCGTTGCCCACAAAGTCTCCAGAGCCTGAGCCCACATCTGAGTCCAAAACAGGGCCAGAGCCTTCGGTCTCCACTCCTACCTGCAGAAAAAAAGAAATTCCCACAGGGAGATTCAGGCACAAGTCTCTATAGACAGCCATGCTGTTTCAAGGGCTCCCATATTCTGTAGCCTTAATATGTCACCTCTACTCCCCTTTCCAGCGGGAGTCCTGCCTCAGTCTCCCCATCATTCAGCCTGCAGGTGGCCTGGTCTCAGCATCTTATTAATCCCTTCTGATTCTTCTCCAGGGAACTCCTTAGTTTCTAGGTGGCCTCCGGTGTGAAACCACCCTGAGGTTTGGATATGGCTTTATTTGATCACTGAAAATGTATATACTGAGCCCCCACTAAGAGGTCCCAGGAGGATCAGGGTTGCAGGTTAGAGCTGAAGCAGGAAGGTCACTGTCCTGTGGTTATCAGAGTGAGTTGTGGTGGTTTGAATGAGAATGTTCTCCATAGGCTCGTATGTTGAATACTAGGTCCCCAGTTAGTGGAACCATTTGGGAAGGATTGGGAGGTGTGGCCTCGTTGGAGATGTGTCATTGGAGGTTGGCTTTGGGATTTCAAAAGCCTATACCAGAGCCAGTCTCCATCTCCCTTGATCCATAAGTTGAGGCTCTTAAGTAAGCTGTCACCTTCTTCTCCAGGACCATGCCTGCCTGCTTGCCACCATGCTTCTCACCATACTGATATAGGCTAACCTCCTGAAACTGTTAGCAGGTACCAAGTTTAAATTAAATGCCTTCCTTTATAAGTTGCCTCGGTCATAGAACAGTATATAAGACCAGGGTAGTAGTAGATGTAAAGGAGACCCAATAAAGTTGCTGCTTTCATCTGATGGAGGCAGAAGTACCACACAGCTAACCTCAGGAGCTAGAGATGGCTGAGATGGGAAGCAGGGATCCCTTGAAGACGTTCAAGGTTTGTTTCCTGGTGACCAGATAAAAGAGCATTATTCCTAGAGCTAGGAAGCCCAGAAAAAGACCAGGTCTTGACAGGGTCGAGTGGGGATATCCTTCCTGGTCCCTCAGGGTTCAGAAAACATGATGATATAAGCAAAATATGGAGCTGAACCCTGCAGGACTCCAGAAAAGTGGAAGCCTGAGGTCTGACTGAAAAAAAAAACTAACTATGGAGTCTGGGGGTCCAGGAAGCCCCCCTCCCCCACAACATCATCCTAGGGAAACCCTCAGGGTCAACGAGACTTCCCCTCCCACTGTCGTCTCCTTCTTCTATGTAGAAACTGTTCACCTTTAAGTTCTGAACCCAAACGGAAGAAAAGCATTTTCTTCTATAAGAATGGCCCAAGGCATACCCTGTCCTCCTGCCTGCTGCCACCACCACTCCCCTGATTCTCAGGGCTTAGTGGTCCTTTGTTCCTATCTCACACCAGCAAGAGAAGGGATACAGTAGGAGAAGCTGAATATGCACACACATGCATAGACCCTGGCGTTGCCTAGGATTCCCTGAGCCCTGGTTTGGGCTCTACCACAGGCTTGGCGTCTGCAACCAGGGAACTGCTCATTCTACCTGGTCCTGAAGTCTCTCTGAGTCTTGACTCCTCCCAGATCTGTCTTTCTGAAACCATGGGTTTCTCCAGGGAGTACCTCCCCCCACCACCACAGTTCTGCAGCCTGACTTAACTGGTGTTCAAGAATTGCCTTTGAATGCCAGAAGCATTCGTGTGGGGAGGAGAAGATGAGGGGAGAAAGAAGAGGAGGAGAGAGGAGAGGAGAAGGAGGAAAGTGAATTTCTGAGATGTCAGCTGTCAGAAGCCTCCAGAGAAATGGCCATCCTCATAAACACAGTGGAAGAATGGCAGAGCCAAACCTAAGGAGAACGACAGAGAGGGGCGTCAACAGTCAGCTCCCAGATGTGGGAGTTGTGAGGGTTCCTCTCAGGGGTCCCTGCTGCCTCTGAAGTTCCCTGAAGCAGAGGTGGAGACCAAGGAGGGCACCTCACCCATAGGCTAATGGCTTTTCTAGGGATTGCTTTCCAAGAGAATTGAAAACTGAGGCCCAGGGCCAGAGCAGAGATGGAGACAGGCAGTCACGTTGTCACCTGTGGGGAATCACCGTTGGGGTCACCCTGATATGGAAATAGCTTGCCTGAGCAGTTCTCCCAGAAGACAAGCTGTTACTCTGCACTGATGGACCTGAGGCAGCGTTGGCCTGAGCACCCCTTCATTCTGCCTCCTGGTCCACAAGTATCCCTGTCACCACACAGCTGACAGGTCTCCTGAGATCCTCCAGCTGCTGAGAAACCAACCTGGGACCAGGGTCTGTGGGAGATCTTCCTCATCAACTCCTTCCAAGAGGAAAACTGGGGGCAGGGCATGTGACTCAGAAGGACCTTCCATAACAGATAGGGAAGCTGAGGCCCATAGAGGTCAAAGGACCCTATCAATGATTCCATTCAACTTGATTTTAAATGTGGTGGGTTTTGCTGACAAAACTCTGGGTCGTGTCTGAAGACGGTGGCTTGGCTGTAGACAGCACAAAAGCTCAAAGCACAAAATCTAAAGACCATGCTCTCATCCTTACCTCCAGGAACTATGTGACCATGAATAGTGTTTTAGCCTGCTCTAGGACTCACGTGATAAATAAATGCATATAGCTAATTTATTGAGTAGGTATGGTGTGCTTGGCAAGGTTTCCCTTGACTCATTGAGTCTTCCAACAAATCAAGAAGTAGTAACCATGCTTGTGGCCCTCAGACTTTGCCCGCATTCAAGACAGAAGGACGGGCAGAAACTGGCCGCAGAGGAGCAGCAGAGACAGGCCTGCCCTGTACCCTCTAAACTGTATTGACTCTGTGATTCAAAGCGATTCTGAGACTGCTCTCAGGCAGGACTCTCTTGATCATCCCAACTGTGATTTTAAGCGCTCTACCCAGGAACTGGGGCATCGGTTTCTGATTACAGCAGGTGCCTGACACAGGCGCTTGGCCATAATCTGCCTTCATGACGCGCATGGTAGGACGTTGTGCTACGTTCAGTGGTTCATTCACCTGCCCTCTCCTCCTGTTTGCCTTCCTCCTGGGTCTCCTTCTTCCTTTTCTCCTCCACAAAACTCGTCCTCTCTCTCCCATCTCCTCCTTACCCATCCCACTCCAGCCTCTTCTTAGAGGTTTACAGAAGAATCTAGGGTTAGAGAGAAGTCTCAGCAGATAAGACCAGGTACTGTACAAACACAGGGATCTGAGTTTTGGTTCCAGCACCCACCAACAATCTGGGCATCCCTTGCATACCCACAATTGTAGTTTGGGGTGTGGGGTGGAAACAGGAGGGTTGATAGGGCTTATCGGCTTCAAGTCTAGTTGAAAATATGGAGGGCCTCGGGTTCAGAGAGAGACCTTGTCTCAAAAAAATAGCTAAAGAGCAATATGTAGGGCTCAGGGCAGCTTGGTACACACCTGCCAAGACAGGCTCAATAGACACCAACCAGAAAGTAGGCCTGAGTTTCAGTTTACCCTAAGGCAACACCTGACTCCAGGAAAGACCACAAACTGGGACCACCCAGGGACCACCCAGGAACAGACCAATCAGCATCCAAAGTAAATACCTAATGTTCCAATCATTATAGATAGGATCACCTGCTATCCCTTAGTCCAGCACACACCCACCCCCTTTCACCAAGGTACCCCGAGACAAACATCAGTCAATCAAGTGTCCTGAACCTTAGAAATCCCTCACGACAGCTGTGTTTTGGACTCTCTGATCATGCTAATGCCTTGGACACACAGAGAATCTGAATTGGAACTTGATTAAGAATAAAGGCTCTTTGCGTTTACGTACGGGACTTGGTCTCCTTGTCGGTTTTTGGGGGACTCCACGATCTGGGCATAACACAATAAAGGACTCCTGATGCCCTATTCTGGCCTGCATTCGTGTGTGTGTGTGTGTGTGTGTGTGTGTGTGTGTGTGTGTGTGTGTATGTGTGTGTGCCACATTCTCCATAAATAAATAAATTAATTTTTTAGATTCTAGGGCTGTAGCTCAGTGGTAGAAAACTGACTTATCATGTACAAGGATTCATGCTCAACCTCTAGCACTATAAACACAAAGCAAACACCAGGATAAAACAAAACCTACCGCAAAAGTTATCAGCCCCATAGCAAAAGGCAACAAAGTGCACGAAGAACCTGACAGCACCCACAGTCCCACCACTTCGAAACAGCGCTGCTAACATTTAGGAAGGGCCCTTCCTTCTAGCGTCTGTAGTTCCTAACAGGTAAGGCCACACAATACACACGAAGTTATAACCATCTTCTGTCACTTAGCATGATATGGTAAGCATTTTCTTCCACATTGAGCACAAATAAGAATAATTCTAATAATGTCTAATGTTCCATTATTTGAATAGACTCTAATTAGCTTTCTTTCGTTGGTTAATTAAATCATACCCAATTCCTCTACCATGGGCAGATATTAACATCCTAGCAAACAAAATCCTTTGTTACTTATCACGTTATCTCCATTGAGGAGGATTCTTAGAACCAAATTCCTGGTTGCAATTGTGTGGTGGTTCATTTCTAGTGGTTAATATGCCGTTTTAGGGTGGCTGATATATATGAACAAAGTTTCCCAGAAGCAGCAAGCACATCTAACTCCCCAACCACAACCTCTACTCCCCACCACCAGGGTGACTGACCCCACCAGCCTAACTTCTCAGGACAGAAAACTCAAGGATACAGGGGTGGTTGGTCCAGTTTCTCCAAAACACCAAACAAAAAAGAAGGTGGGAGCAGAGACTAAAAGACCCTTGAGAGATGATCGTTAGGTCCAAAGGAGACTCCAATTCCCCAAACTCTAAAAGGCAGCCCACCTATCCAGAAATGGGCTCAGTCTGGACTGTAGGAGGACTTCTGGTGGCTAGATAAAAGCCAGCAGTCCTCAGGAACTTGTGAAGCTGGGTCCCCTCCAACAAAAGAAGCCATTTCCTTTACCTTGGACAGAAGGGACACATGGCTAACTGTGGAGCCTGTAAGCATATCAAAGTGCTTGCTGCTTCCAGGCTTCCTCAGCATCACGTGTACTTGTTACATATTTCAGAGTCCACACTATCATCCTGGTCCTTCTCACTGCCTCCCCTACCCTAAACTCCATCCAGCTCATGGGCTTTTCCCTCCCCACACCACAGCTACTCATTCTCCATATAACCCTGCTATTCTTTATATGCTCGCTCTCTCTCTCTCTCTCTCTCTCTCTTCTTCTTCCCTCGCTCCCTCCCGTCCCTCTCTCTCCTCTCATTATGTTTTTTCTATTCTCTATCTCCTGGCCAGGTCCAGTCTGTTGGTGATGTTCAGCCTACTTCTTTCTTTCTTCTCTGGATTCTTCCAGATGCTTCTGGCTGTTCTCTCTCTCTCTCTCTCTCTCTCTCTCTCTCTCTCTCTCTCTCTCTCATCTATAACAAAAACCTTCCCCTTAACCATACTATGGAGCAGTAGTGGCATCCATTTATACAGTATGCGCAGACTGGAGATTCAGAGTCAAACTGAATGCGAGAGGCATCAAAAGTCAGCCTGAGTATTAGAGACTATGAAGAGGCTACTGTTCTATTAGATGCACGATGATATCGTGATTATAATAAAAATAAAAACAACAAACAACTCAAAGGTCCCAGATCAATCTATTGGCTATGTGCCATGGACTATTTACAAGATAACTGACGTGATGCTTAAGACTTTCTAACAATGTTCCAGGCGTCTCCCTCCTGCTTATAAAGTGGTGGGGGAGGGGAAGAGGTAAGGTAGATCTGCACGGCACAGGCCGGCGATGATGGGGGGTAACTGTGCTGTTCTGAAGCTTTGTGAAGCTCCTAGATTCTCAATAAGAACAGTTTCAGCAAAGAGCAGACCCTGCCTGTGCCTGGTGTGGCATCCAAGGGAGCACAGACTGTGACATAAGGAGCTGAGGGGCAGGGGACAGTGCTAGGGAATCACAATGCTTGACAAGCTGGGGCCTCTTGGGAAGCTGGTGACTTTCAGTACTAGCGTGATGGGGAACTTCAGCCAATCACATTCTGCTTAGGGTGGGTCCCCCTGGGGCCACACAAGACAAATAAAAGATCGAGGTGCGCTTTTGCCCCCTGCGTTCCTGGATCGTTGGAACCCTGGTTTTGTAAGTTTTCCTTTCTTCTGTTTATCAAAGCAAAATCTTTTCTATTAATCTAGTCTGGTTAATTTTTAACTACCGATCGACCATGCCCTTCACTAGCCACCTTGAGGACAGATTTCTGGGGCGTGCCAGCCTGAGTCTCACTCATTAGAATACTAACAGTCTCTGGCCATGTGGGCTTTGAGCCACCTGGCTCTGTCTAACACACACTGGGGTCTGCACCCAGAATCTTCACTCTTCTTCCTTTGCCAGCGATGATGAGGAGACTGGAGACCCCACAACCAGGGTATCTCTGGAAGAGATCCCTTGCTTCCTGCCTCTCTGTCAGGCTCAGGGTCATCCCTTACCTGGTGCTTCTGGTTATGAGGATGCAGGAGGGTAACCATGCCCAGAAGAAACTGTACAGGACAGAGGACTCAGGGGGACCCCTCTGATCCCTGCCTCATCACAACCCATTGCTCTCACCTAGAATGAGGAGCCAAGTGCACTCTAACCACAGAGAAGGGAAGCTGCACGGGAGCCAGCCAGCAACCGGAAGACATTCTTGGGTAAGGGACATTCAGGATTCTCAGAGGGCTTTCCTGAGCCCCTTAGTGCAGGCCACTGGAGTGTGGCATCTGAGGGGTCACCTGGCTGAATCTTGAGCCATGGCTTTCAGAATGTCACTCTAGGAACTGACACACTGAGGTGGGTGACCTACAGGAGGTTCTCCTTGAGAGCCATCTTCTTCCTGAATTGGGATTTGCTCCCTGATTATTCACACAGCCCTGGCTCTGAGTTGCCTGCTTCTCTGAGACAACGGGTCACCCCTCAGCTGGTGACCGCACTGTGGGCATAGATGGTTCTGAACATCTTCTCAACTGACTCTCCAACTGTCCTGTGCAGACCAGAAGCCTGCTTGAAGAGACCAAAGGATGGCTGAGGGTTCGGAGTAGTGGACCACAGACAGCCTCAGACCCTCAGCTGAGAGGCCCCGGCAGGACCACACACCCTTCATGCTCCCTGTCTCTATAGACCCTGCTGAGTTCCACACTCACTGTTTATGCCTTGAGACGTTGCTAACCTTGATGTGATTACAAAGGCAACTGAAGGCCTCAGAAAGGTCCCTCCACATTTATTTCTTGCCTTTTTCTACCCAGTTTGCAGTCTCCTAGGGTTCCTCAGGCCAAAGGCCCTCAAATATTGTCTTTACAAACTACAAAAGATGAGAACCGACCCTGAGAAGGTCAGGGTGGCCTTTCTTCACACTGAAAGATCGTCCAGCTGAGTCCACCCCTCTGCCCCAACACTCACGGGAGTGATCTGCCTTTCAGGAGTCAATGTGGGTGTGGGGAGCGGAGGCCCACTGGGGAGTATGCTGCCAGACCCCTCCTCTTCAGCATCCTCTGTGGATGCCACCAAGTCTTCTCCATCAGCAGGTGCCTGAAAAGGAGGTCAACAGGAGGGGTCACCGTGGCCCTAGCCCACAAGGCCGTAGGATTGTGGGTGTCGTGTCTGAGATGGCAGTCCAGTGTCAAACTTACCTACCTACCGGCATCCTCACACCCAGCTAAGTCGTGCTAAAAAAAACCCTCCCATCTTTGGGACCCTGATCTCTAGGAAAGTTCTCAGTCAAAGCTAGGAGGTAGCCAATTGGGATAAAACCCAACACCTGGTTCCTTCTGTCACTGTCCTTCATTCCTGTTCAGTTGACGTTTCCCAAGGTCTCACAACAGAGCCGAAGCTGTGTATGCCTCTGCAGAGGACCTTAAGGGCTCCTGGCTCAGAATGTCGAACTTTTTGTCCTCCACGAGTCAGAGAGGATGCTAGTTGGGACTTACAGGAGTAAACACTTGCTCAGGGACCACAGTGGGTGTGAGAGTAGCCTGGGGATCTGTAGGACTCCTGCTGGCTTGCTCAAGGACCACTGTGGATGTGGGAGCATTCTGGATGTCTGTAGGGATCTCGCTGGCTTGCTCAAGGGCCACTGTGGGTGTGGGAGCATTCTGGACGTCTGTAGGGGTCCCATTGGCTTGCTCAAGGGCCACTGTGGATGTGAAGGCTTCTAGGCTGTCGATGGCAGTCCCACTGGCTTCCTCTTCCTCAAAAGCACCGAGTGGCACCTTGGACACAGCTGGGGTTAACAATTCTTCACCATTTGGACCCTGAAATAGAACTGGCATCAGATTATGCCATATGGTCTCCACTACCCCACCCCCTTTTTTCCCTTTTGGGGGCTATGCACATGCTATGAAAGGAAACCACTGGGACCACCAGATCTCAGCAGCTCCCTTATGTCCCTCCCTGAGTTCTCCCTCAAGGGGTATCTGTAACTGAGTGTACAGGCCTCTGGGCATCGTCACCCCACCTCCGGAATCCATCTGCCTGTATATCTATGTTCAGTCAGTATCTGGGCTTAGTTCGCATCTCTCCGGCCATGGGGAGCTCAACCCCTCTGCAGGCGGCCCCTCCTCCCACTTCTATCCTGTTCTGCTGGCCAAGCTCCAGCCTCTGTCACACTAGGACTTGTAGAACTGGAGTCTGGTCCCCGGTTTTCTCCTGCTGTGACACATACTTTGTCTTTAAGAAGGAAAGGAAAGGAAAGGGAAAGAAAAGGAGACACTTTGGTCTTTGAAATCATCGGTGTGACAGTCAGGTGACCTGGAGAATTCTGTCTCTAGCCTGTGTGGATACGAGAACAGACCACAAGACTGCCTGCGCAGTTTACTACAGACAGGAGAGGGAGCACGGACAGGAGCTCGGAGGTTGTTGACTCTGATGGGCCCTGCTGCCTTCATGCATTCGCTCAGCCAACTTGTCCAGCCCCTACCGCTTAGAAGGAGCAAAGCAGATCTGGGAAGCGGGGGCTGCTAAGCCCTGTCTCCACCAGGCTCCTGATCCGCTAAGGAGCCAGGCATGCCCTTAGGGATGGAGCTTTTTACCAATACAATTAGGATGAAGTCTCCCAAGGACAAGGCCCAGGAACTGTCATAGTCCACACCAGCATGTTCCTACAGAAATGGTGTTGGATTGACTTTGAAGGGCAAGCAGGAAGGTGAAGGAAGGGGAGGGGAAGAATCTCTGCAGAGAGGAGGGGTGTGGGAAGACCGCAGGGCAGGAAAAAAAACTCAGAAAAGCTTGAGGTCGGAAGTTGTGGCTCAGGTGAGGAACACAGAAGCCCCGGGTGCAGCCATGAAGGCCAGTGACCAGACCCTGTTTGGCTTCTCAAAGGAGCTAGGTCAGTAGGTCAAAGTTAGCAAACCATCTCAGAAGAGGGGGAGCAGCCAGGCAGGTTTTGCGAGAGAGGCTACAGCGGGGTGAGAGCAATGCCTGGCTGGGAAGGAGGCTGCTCAGGACCTGTGCTGCTGAATGACAGATTAAGGTTGAAAAGCAACAGGACCTCATTCTACTTGAGGCAGCTGGGAAGGGACCGTCCCAGTCACATGGGGCGGGAACATAGGGGTGGCCATGGGGTTTGAATCTGATGTGTAAAGGACTTTCACGGACTATCCCAGGGACAGACCGGTCAGTGTCCAGCTGGGGTGTATGTGTCCAGCCTTCTCTATACTGCAGGCGGCTCGACCTTTCCCTCTACCCTGTCTGGCCTGCCTGTCTGCACCCTGCCTCCTTTCTCCTGACAGCCCACAACGACACCAGAACCTCTTTTCCTCACACCCAGGCTATGCCCTCCATTCCTGGTCTCTGGCCCCTGCTGGTGGGGACAAGAGACTTTGCCCACAGCCCCAAGACTCCTCCCTACTCCTCTGACCACACAGGGCATCCCCATCTCCCTTCAGGCCCTGCTGGACCACACGGTCTGAGTTATACAAGCAGCAGTCCTGGCAGACAAGTCCCACCTCTGAATGAGCATTGGTCAGAGGTTCTCCCACACACCCCTGGCCAGGGCATCTGGGCTTGCAGAGTGTAAGGCTGAGAAGGTTATTCTAACTCGTACTAATTCATACTCCTTACCAGAGTGGCCTCTTCTCTTGGTTTCTGGGTAAGCATGGACAGGGTTGGCCCTGCAGGAGGCACGGTACCAGCCTCTGCATCCCCAGCAGTGCTGGTGGGCACTTCACCATCCCCTGATGCTGCTGTTGCTAGATTTTCCTCATTCTCTGGATTCTGAGTGGAAAGATATCCCAAAGGTCAAGGTTTGTGGACCACCAGTTTGGTCCATGTCCGTGGCTTTAGGGGATAGACAGTCAAAGCCCCTCGTGTACCTGTGTCCTGTCCCTCCCTTACCTTCAAAGCGCAGGCACATCAAAGACCTGTCCTTCACCTCTGCTCTCACTGGTCTATACCTGCCAATCACCTGACTGCTTCTTGTCTCCTGCTCCCCTAGATCAGTAACTCTCACATTTAGTGGTCCTTGCCACTGTCGCTCAGAATCACTCACTGGAACTTTTGAAAAGCTCTGACAGGTTCATGGCCACCCCTGCTCATCTGGACCAGGATCCAGCCTGCCAGCTTCCTCCGTCCTTTCTCTACCTAGAAGCCAGGGTGATCTTTCTAGAATTTAAATCCTATGAAGATCTGCTCACCCTCTCCTATGCTTCAGTGGCCGCCGCTTCACTGGATGCTGCCAAGCTACCCAGCAGAAGCCGCCACGCTCCCGACCTCTCCAGCCGCATCTTTTCATCTTCAGCTTACTGCTGACGCCAGGGTGCCCTGCTGAGCCCGCAGATACCCCGTACTTCTTCACTGCCTGTGCCATCTCTGGGCCTTTGCTCCTTGGGCCCCCACCTGTAACATCCACCTATCTCATCTGCTTGGCTACTTTCCTCAAACCCCCAGGCTCACCTTCTGCCACTCCGACCTGCAAGATCACTCCCAGAGTATTTTGGGAGTCCTTTGTCCCTTGACCACCGTGTCTTGGGAACACAGCCTATCCCAATGACCATCAGCCCTGGCAAGCAGGACCAGTGCCAGGTGTGGCATGGCTCTCTGCAAACCTTTCCCAGTGAATGAATACCCCGCAGACAGCTGCTCTTGTCCACCTGGACCTGCCCCTGCATGCATTTTCAAACAGGAGGCTGGGAACTGTTCCTACCTGGGATAGCCCCTAACAGGAGAAGTGAAATGCGTGCCTGAGTTACTCACCGAAGTAGCCACTTCCCTGGAGTTCTGGGTGGTCATGGCCAGGTTGGGGCTCCCAGTAGGCACATTGCTAATCTCTGCTTCCAGGGTAGTGGTGACAGGCACCTTGGCCTCCCCAGTTGCTGTTGCTGATAACACCTAGAAACAAGGGCACAGTGAGAGACCCTGCCACAGGTCCCTTAGCTCTGATCAACAAGCCATAGCTGGAGAGAACTGAGTATCTGGATCACTACATGCCCCCTGGCATCTGACACGCCAGCTCCTTCCTGACTGTAGGCGCCACCATATTTGTGATCTCATCCCAGTCTTAGACCAGTTCCAGGCTTGCAAAAACCAGGAGATAAGAAACATCTCTGAGGCACAGATGTCTTGCATTTCATGCTAACATCTGTCAGCAGACCCTGTGGCCATAGGCCATTGCGTCCCGAGTCAGCTGGCTGCAGCTCTGTGCCTTGTGTCTAGATACCCAAACCTCCTGTGATCACCCCTGTCCACCCCTCTGGACAGAAGGACAATGGCATTCTCTCCACGGTGCTTCAGCCACAGGCAGGCAGCACTCTGCCCTCCTCAGCCCACTGCAGCCCTAATACGCCTTTCTCTCTTGGTTTGTAGCATAGCTTCCTCTGAGTAGTGGAAAGATTGCTATAAGTCCCACAATGACTGGGGAAATAGAGCAGCTGTGACTGCAGCTGTCACAGAAAGAGACAAACTTTCCAGAAATGACAGTGCACACCTTTGACCCCAACACTCGGGAGGCAGAAGTAGGCAGATTTCTCTAAGTCTGAAGCCAGCTTGGTCTATATAGTGAGTTTTAGACCAGCCAGAGTTACGAGGTGAGACCCTGTTTCAAAACAAAGGGGTGAGGAGGGCATGTTTATTTTTGTTTTCTAGGGTTTCATGTGTGTGTGTGTGTGTATGTGTCAGTGTGTGTGTGACAGTATGTGTGTGAGTGTGTGTATATGTGTGAGTGTGTATGTATGTGTGACAGTATGTGTGTGTGTATGTGTGTGAGTGTGTGTATATGTGAATTGTGTGACAGTAAGTGTGAGTGTGTGTGACAGTAAGTGTGAATGTGTGTATTGTGTGAGTGTGTGTATGTGTGTGTATGTGTGTGTGAGAGAGAGTATACATGTATGAGCATGTGTATGTGTGTGAGTGTGTGTGTGTATGTGTGTATGTGTATGAGTGTGTGTGTACATGTGTGATGGGGTGGGTATGGATGCACATGTGCATATGGGTGCATTTGCACATACATGAATCTGTGGAGACCATATTTGCTGTCTTCCCCCACTTTATTTTTGAGACAGGGTATCTCACTACATCTGGAACTTCCTATTTCATCTAGGCTGGATGACTACTAAGCCCCTAGGATCCTCTTATCTGTCCCCCTGCCATCCATACTTGGGTTACAGGTATTCATCACTGCACCTAGTTTTGACATGGGTGTGCTAGGGTCTTCACACTTGGCTCTTCACACTTGCGTACAAATGCTGGAGTTGAGAAGCTGTGACCCTATCCGATCAAGCATTTCTCAACCTGGCTTTGTAGATTTGAAAGACACCTGCTAAGAACAGAGTGGACATGGCCACAGTTAATAACGTCCTGAGGAGACTGTGTCATCTTAAGGGTCCAGTGCCAGGGGGTCACCATGGTGAGGACCCAGCATTCATCACCAAGCATGGGTGAAGGCAAGCTGGGGTTGATTCTCCTCCACCTATGCTGGTGTACCCTTGAAGCTTGGCCACTGACTGCTTCCTCTGTACCCTGGGAACATTGGTCCTGATGACATTCAACATCATCAAATTGAAATAAGCAAACGAGTCTCCTATTAGGCCATCATATCAAACTTACCACTCACTCACCTGAACATCAGTGACATTCAGCAGGGCCCCATCCCCTGAACCACCATCAGTACTGGGGTCCCCATCCACAGCATGGACCCCCAGGGTGTCATTCAGAATCTCACCAGACCCTACAGGGAGCAAAAATTGTGATATCAACACCTACGTTTTGCAGTCTTGGAAGAGAACCAGGCCACGCTTTTCCTAGTAACTTGGGGAGGTGTCCATGATCCCATTATACAGTGTCAAGAGGGAAGAGCCAGCCTAGAGAACAGGGAAAGGCCCTAGGACCTGGTGGCTTTATGGACTCTGGCACCTCCTGCTGCCTGGAAACCTGCTTTACCACTTCCCAGCATAGGACTCAAGGCAAATGCTTAACCTGTGCCTCAAGTTCCTTCATTTGCAAGAGCACGATTCCTACCTCACTGAAGAGAAATTATTCTGAGGATCATGCATCATTTGATCTAGCTGATATGGGAAAAATACTGTGGACAGCACCTGGCACATAGCAAGCTACTCACAAATATTTGTTATCATTGGAGCTCTGTAGTCAATGAACAGAAAAAAAGGGCTACTTATGAGTACATGATGTGGGATTCCCCTCTGTATGCTGGGAATACCATTGGTTAATAGAGAAACTGGCTTGGCCTAATAGGGTAGAACAGAGCAAGGCAGAAAAAACTAAGCTGAATGCTGGGAGAAAGGAGGCAGAGTCAAGGAGAAGCCATGTAGCCTCACCAGAGACAGACACTGGGACCTTTACCCAATAAGCCACAGCCATATGGCATACACAGATTACTAGAAATCAGTTAAATTAAGTTATAAGTGTTAGTCAATAAGAAGCTAGAGCTAATGGGCCAAGCAGTATTGTAAATAATATAGTTTTAAATAATATAGGATATGTGACTATTTCGGGTCTGAGCTGCCGGGCAGTTGGGAACAAGCAAGAGACTCCTTAACAACAAATACACACGTGATTATTCTATTTGATATTTGTTATGCAGAAGTTATTACCTAGCATGTGTATTATTCGTGTAGGCGTCTGCATGTTTAAGTATACACAGCTAGGTCACAGCACTGAACTTAGGCTTCTTCAAGATTATAGGAGCAGAAAGAGAAGGGGAGATTATTATTTTCTGTTGTCGTTGCTATTCCTACAACTCTACATTGATTGAAATGTTACCACATGCGCACCCGTGGGGAGGGCGTCAAAAGACAAATCAAATCCTAAAGCAAAGAAGAGATCACACTAAAATGAATGCATGCCCGTTATCCTGCGAGCCAAGCTGTCTCTTCTCTAGGAACGGTCTATTCTCTAAGAAGACCAGAATTTCACATTCTCAGCCTCCTCCAAAACACCCCAAAGCATGCATTTTGTTCTAATCCACAACTGTAAGATAATAATAATTATTATTAATTATTGGTACTATTATTAGCAGTGCTGAAGACTGAGCCTAGGATCTTATGCCGGCTACAAAGTACTGTCTCACTAGGCTGTGTCTTCATCTCTCTCACGCAAGCTCAGCAAGTACTCCATTACTGAAATGAATCTCCAGCCCTTTTGGCCTCTTTATTTTGAGAAAGGGTCTCACTAAGTTGCCCAGGCTGGCCTTGAACTTGTTCTGCAGCATAGGCAGGTCTTGGGTGTATGTATTCCTGTTGCAGTCTTCTAATTGGTCGGGATTACTGGTTTGTGCTAATTAGCACAATTAGCCCCGTTCATCAGGCAAGTAAAGTCGCTGTGAGAGTAGTGGCTACGACGGGCTTGTAAGTCAGGCAGGTTTGTCTCTAGACCAGAGTTTCTCCATGCATGTAGCAGTCACATATGCCCTAATTTCTCCAGCTCATCCTGTGTGGCCTCACGTGGAATCCACAGAACTCCAGGAGTCTGTCTGACATTGGCCCGTGCCTGAGTCCTCCCTGCTCTGACCACCAGGGGGTGCTGTGCAAGCAGCTACTGGACCCCAGTGTCACCCAGAGAGATGGGGCAGGTGCTGTCAGAAGCATGGCATACAAGTGCCTCCAACACTGGAGACCTTTTCCCATGCAGAATGGTACTTAGGGTACTGGCTCCCTTCTCTCCATCATCTGGAATGTCTATTCACCAAGAAAAGAAACACTTGAACAAGTTCTAGGGTTTCCCTATGGCCTTCTGTCTGCTAGCTGAGGAGTAAAGCTGGTACAGGTGAGAGGCTCAGGTGGGAGGCTCGGCCTCCCCTCGGCTCTTGCCTTCTTAAACTGGAAGAACCCCTTGCCCTACGCAAAGGCCCCAATCCACCCACCAGTATCCACAATTGATAATGCTTCTATATCACCAGGAACAGGAAAAATACAGGGCGCCCCACCCTCTCACTCACCAGGAGGCAAGGATGGTTACAGTCTCCATGGAGGGCTAAGAAGGCTTGCAATGTCAGTCATGCCCCAGGCCCACAGCAAAGAGACAGCCAAGTAGGGCGTCCTTCAAAGCTGTGTCAAGTTCCTCCTACTCCCCCTCCCCGGCTTCCCTCTGCCACATTACCACAACTCCCTAGTTCCATTGTAACTTTATTAAATTATTTATAATTTTCCTGTCTAGTATTCTCTACATCTTGTCCACAGGGTCCCCAAGCTCAGTTGTTAAAGTAACTCTCATTAGCCGATGGCAGAAGCAAAGAGAAGAAGGGTAACTATTACTGTAAACCACACTGGAGACCAGAAATTTAACAGAATCAAAACCACCTGCAGCCCTACCACACACTGTATGTTGGACCAAATTGGTAATGTGTTTCCCACACATACAAACAACATGTATTCAAAGTGGTGGCTGAGGCAGGTTTGAAATCTGCTCCCACGATGAAGACTCCATTAGCATGGCATAACTCGTTAGGTCCTCCTGTCACAGGGATAAATGACGTCAAGTTCGCTCAACCCAGCCCCGCTATGGGCGCTTTGGACGGACATTGCTGCTGGAGGTGACCTTTCCCCTACCTCTCAGAGCTCTGGCCTTGGCTGAAGCAAGGCCACCAACGACCCCCCTCTGGGAAGTGGTATTCTCGTGCCTGGGGTGCATGTCAGTCTGCTGCTCGGGGGAGCCACACGTGTTCTCTGGGCTTCTGCTTGTGCACCTTGGTGCGGTGTCAGAAGCAGAGGGGCAACAGATGGAACCTGAGGCCTACACTTCTCTTTAGGCTCCCATTGGCCTGCTGGGTGACAATGCCAGTTTCTGGCCATCAGGTAGCTGACCCCTGAGACCCAGAGAACTTGTAGCCAAAGTCAAGTGAAGAGTCTTAGATGAGGCTATGAGTTTATAGGCATGCTGCCTGCCCCCTTCGCAAGGGCTGGCTTTTCCCACCTGTAAAACGGCGGCTAGCCATATTGACTAGAAGGCTCGCCGGTGGGACTGGAGAGGTATGGAGAGGTATAGCCACAGACGAGGGCCTCAATTAGCAGTAATGATTCTTATAAACTTTCCCGTTGGGAGAGTAGAGGTGAAGTCTGAAAGTTAAAGGCCCAGACATTGGAGAGCAAGTGCTAACTCTGCCCCTCTCAGGTCGTGTGGTCTTGGCTAGGTGACCCAGTTTCTCTGTGACTCGGTTTCCCTGTCCTGTATTTGAGGGGCGTGACTGTCATCCTTCCCTTGAAGGGTGAAGAGATGGTGAGGGGAGCCCAGTATGTTACATACATGGTGATCACTCCGTGGTAGACCACTGCTCTCATGTGTGTGTGTCAGGACTTGCCTTGCTCGGGGCTGCTATGCCCAATGATGCTCAAGTTGGTTTCTGGGGTTCCTTCTGGCACAGGTTCTCCAGAAAGCTCCGAGTCCTCAATAGGAGAGGATGAAGTAGGAGGCATGCTTATGGGATTGACATGTGCTTCTTTAGGCTGAAGAGAGAAAAATGAAATTTACTTTAAAAAGAATCCTTTAAGTAAAAAGGGATTTACTAAACAGTGAAGCAGAAAAAAAAATATGGGAAGTGATTTATCCACAGAATCCCGAATAATCCTGAATGCCTACACTGGCTGTGTCTCTGGGCAGCATCACACCTCCCAGGCCTGAAAGAGGTACATGCTGAGTGTAATTCCATCCCCACTCACTGTCCAGGGAGATATTGCTGATCTCAGACTAAGGTCTTTAAGCTCAGAGACTACACTTCTGTGATGCCTGAGTCCCAGGCTAGCACAGAGCAGATGCTGGGTTCAGGAATGTGTGGGCTGTTGTGTCAGTGAGTCGGGCTGCACCCTGTAAATCCAGCCCAGAGCAGCACGGAGGATGAGGCTCTGACAGTGATGGCCGTGTCGGCTTCTGTCCACAGAAGCTCCCGCATCTATACAGCTTCTCCAAAGCCAGGCAAGGTCTTAACCAGTCTTAACCAGCTGGGGAGGGGGTGGAGCTTGAGGACGGAATAAAGAATACATGGCCCCTAGAGCTCAGAGGGGCACAGACCAGACCCTAGCAGCCTATTTCATGGGACACACAACAGCAGAAGCAAGGGCCAAGCCAGGGAGGGGGCATGGCAGGAAAGGCCTCACTGGGAGGATTTGGCCTGGATCCTGAGGTGGGTAGGAATTTGCCAGAAGGAAGGAAGAGTGGGTGTGGAGTGGGGGGGGTTCCAGGCAAACAGAACTGCACAGGGCTGTTGGGAGGAAGTCCCAGATGGTATGTCTGGGAAGCCAAGAGCCCTTAGGTGTGGCTGGAAGGAGGCCTGACTGGGGCTGGGAATCGCCCGTAGAGCTCTCCGCCAATGTGCATTCTTGTTCTTCGCTCCAGACATGCTGAACACCCAGGGAAGCCGCCCAGAAGGCTCCTTATTAAAGGCCTCTGTCAGTGCCGCACAGCTGAGCACAGGGGACTCACAGGCACAGCCATGTCAATCCTAACTCAGTTGAAGATAAGATTTCCATAAATACAAATGTATGTGAGCAGCAGCAGACATGGTCGGAGAGACAGGCACAGAACAGCCAAGGCGCTGACCCTAAATGGGAAGAGGGAGGCCGCCTTTAGTTCAGTTAGTTTGCCCATTCGGCTCTGTGTCCTCAAGAGTGGCAAGCTATAAAGGGGAAGTGGGGTTCTGACTAAGAAAGAAGCCAGACAGAAAACGGAAGGACTGTCTGGGACCAGGGGGTGGTGGGAATTCCCTGTGCTAGAAGGGTAACTGCCAGAAAAGCCGTTAAGCCCTCAGGGTGGAGTGACTGAGAACACTCTGGACCCACAGCCCAACATCTGGTTCAGTCACCTTCAGGCTGGGTGGCCTCAACAACACGATTGTTCCAGGCATGCTCCTACAGAATAGACCTCAGGAGCCCTCTCTGAAATGCCACTGAAGGCCGAGTAGCAGAGTCTCAAGAGTGAGCCACCTGTGTAGGTAGTGGGACACCTGCAGAAGGACGGAAGAACTCTGAGGATGGCATCTGGCAGGTGAGTGTTGGGGCCATTGGGGCTGGGCCTAGGGGAATCCCCTTAGAGCAAAAGGTAGTCATGGGGGTTTGCAATAACAAGACATCAGAAGAAGCAGGTGTGGAGGGGGTCCCAAAAGGAACAGGGAACTCAATGTGATGTGCTGAGTCTGGCCCTGAGCTCCCTGGCCTCTTGGAATACTCGCCAGCCAGGTGGCACCACCAGCTTTCACCCATCACTGCTATGTGCCAAGGACTACTTGTATGTTTGGACCAGGCGGTTTGCCCACCTGTCATACTAACCCATGAAGTAGGCATGTTCCATGATAACAGGGAAGCTGTATTGGAAAGGACAGGTCTCTTGCTAAAGCCAGTAGGCAGGGACACCAAGGCTAAGACCTATTCTGGGTAGGATTGGACATACAGTTCTTCTCCCAAGTGCCTAAGAACTTGGAAAGGGAAGGAATGAGCTGCCCCAGAGACTCCAGGGGCACCCCTACCACCAGACACTTTTTTTTGTCACTTCTCTAGGTCCTCAGAGATTGATGTCACACCCTCTCTGGGCTGGTGTTGGCCATCAGCCCCCATACCTGATGTCATGGTGTGCTGGCTAGTCTTATGTCAACTTGACATACAAACTAGAGTTGTCTCAAAGGAGGGTAACTCCATTGAGAAGATGCCTCCATAAGATCCAGCTGTAGGGCATTTTCTTAATTAGTGATTGATGGAGGAGGGGCCAGCCCGTTGTGGGTGGTACCATTCCTAGGTTGGCGGCCCTGGCTTCTATAAGAAAGCAGACTGAGCAAGGCATGAGGTGTAAGCCAGTAAGCAGCACCCCTCCATGGCTTCTTCATTAGGTCCTACTTCCAGGTTCCTGCCATTTGTGTTCCTGTCCTGACTTCCTTCGATGATGAACAGCTATATGGAAGTGTAAACCAAATAAACCCTTTCCTCCCCAACTTGCTTTTTGCTCATGGTGTTTCTTTGCAGCAATAGAAACTCTAACTAAGACACACGGGAAGAGACTCAGGAGGTTGGATTCCTGGCTCTGTTACTGTCTGACCCTGGAGATCTGCTCACCCCCCTGGGCACCCGCTTCTACATCTGCACAGTGAATAATGCCACCTTCCTTGCAGGGGCTTGAAGGAAGAAGTCACATCGTATTCGCAGAAGCACTAACCCTCTTCCTCTTCTGCTTCCCTCTCCATTCCCAAGTTGCCTGTCTCCACCCTTCCCTCCTAAACTGTTGTTCCAGTCTCACCTTTTAGACCCTCCCTGGGGACTGCCATGGGTCGTTAGCACCTCTATCTGAGTCAGCCTCCCTCCCAGTATGTAGCAGCATCATACTCAGAGCGCTGAGCGTGTGGCCCATTGACCTGTGCTCAGGACGTGCCCATGGGGTGGCTAGGCCTAATAGGCACGCAAGACTCCAGCACTACCCTGAGCAGTACATGGACTCCTTGATGTCCTTATCTCAGCCAAGATTGGCCAAGGTTTGGGGGGACACACTTCCACACTCCCACCCGGACCATATACCCCGTGGTAGATGTCAGAAGATCTATGCTCCAGCCTCGCTGGCCCAGAGTCCTTCTCTGGATCTGCCTGCCCATCTGTAATATAGGCAGTTTGCTACACGTGTCTGTCTAGGACCTTCTAGCTTTAGCGGACTATGGTTCTGTTCTGCTACACCCGCATCCCTGATCCCTGAGGTCTATAACTTACAGTCTCTGCCTTATTACTGTCTTTCTACGTTCTGCTTTCTATCAGAAGTGCCTTCACAGAGTGATGAGCCCAACCTGGGGGTTTTCTTTGGTTGCAGCTCAGATGCTCCTTGCTAGTCTAATACATACATTAATATATAGACCTCTCTCTCTCTCTCATACACACACACACACACACACACACACACACACACACACACAGGCGTGTGTGTGTGTGCTCCTTGCCATCCCCATGGACTGACTTGAGACTTTGCAAACCCTTCCCTCTTAGCTGCAGAGCACGTCCCCATGAGGGAGACTGTGAACACTGAGATGAGGGTTGTTCTTGCTTGGGTCCAAGGCAGCACTGAGTATCATTCGGGGCTATTTCCCTCGTGCCAGGCATTTTCTCAGACTCAGCCCAACCTGCCTCGTCTAAATCTCCAGTGACCTAAGACACAAGAGAGGTTATCGTCGCTCTGTAGTGTAGAAGACCGCTGAAGTTCCGAGGGACTGAGCAAGCTCTCCAAGGCCCACAACACAGCTGCCTCTGCCCAATTTTCATCGCCATCCATGCAGGTGGCCCTGGGCAATTGGTATGTTTGCTCGGGTGTGGGTGTCAGGTTGCAAAGGATCCTCTTGACTCCCCCAGAAGATCTTGTACGTAACCTCACACATCTGACAACAGCCTGAGACAGTTAACCCACCCGCAGGGGTGGTACCATGCTCACCGGGGCCTGAGTGTAGGTGACGGCTTCCATGATCTCAGCGACTTCGTCCATCTCCTGAAGTCCACTGGCTTCTCCAGATGCCTGTGAGGAGATAAATCATGCCACACACTGTAGGGAGTCTTTCTCTGTCCCCCAAACAATGATCCGGAGACTGGTTAATTATGAAAGCTCAACCTTAACTTAGGCTTGTCCCACTATCTCTTCTAACTTGACTTAACCAATTTAGTTTAATCTATGCTCTGTTTCCTTGCTTGTTACTTTATCTCTCTGTACTGCTCACGCTACTTCCGCTGTGTCTGCCTTCTTCCCAGAGTTCTCTCTGTCTCTGGAAGTCCCGCCTATACATCCTGCCTAGCTATTGGCTGTTGAGCTTTTTTATTACACCAACCACAGCAATACATTTTCACACAGTGCACAAATATCCCACAACAACACACAAAGCAGGAAAGCAGGTTATACAGCATTGGGGTACTTGGGAAGGTCAGAGACTGACCAACAGACTCCTATAGGGGAACTGTGTGTGCATGTGTGTACATTTGCATGTGCATGCATGTATACAGTTGTATATATGTATATGCATGGGTATGCATCTGTGTGCATGCATATGTATGGCATGCATGTGTATATGTACGTAAACACATGTATGCACGTGTGTACATGTTTTGCGGTATGCATGCATACATGGATGTGCACATTAACACATTATATTTGAACCCGTGTATATGTGTGTGTGCATGTATGTATAATATGAACATCAGAGACAGGGTGGGAAATGCTGTATGCACAGTTGCGTATTCTTTATCTATCCACACTATTATTGCTACAGCCTGTGTTACTTCACCTTCCAACCGTGCCCAGGCTCCCTTTGTTCCCACTTTGTGCAAAGTGCTCACGGGAATCCACTCAGGGAGCACTCATCCAAGGTGGTTTTCTAGTGTCACCCTATGTCAGCCCAGGAGTCTGTGTTGTGGCTCTGCAGTGGATGCTGTGCTCTGGACTGTTTATACTTCAGCATGAATGCAGAGCAGAGACAATTACGTGACAATTCCCTTATCCCCTCTGCTAGCTCCCCAGGAACGCCACAGGCTCAGGAGTTCAGACAGTCAAACTGGCCCAAATGCTATCTCTGGTGTACAGATTTCTTTTTTTAACACCAAATTAATTAAACCAGCTTCCAGTTTGTTCAGAGGCTGACATCACTTAAAGAGCAACAGTTGTAGGAAACACCACTTTGCCCGCATCTGGCTTTGGCATGATGCTCCTGTCTGCCTGGAAGGCCCTACAGACAGCTCCTCTGCCTGCCTGGCTTCCGGCTCCTCCCGCTGCTCCTCCCTCCTGCTCTCTGACCTGAGTGGGATCTGCAGCTCTTTCACTTAGTTGTGTTTACAGGTGTGTGTCAGATGATGGAGGAGGGGACAGCTCCAAAGTAGGTCCCCTTATCCCCAGCCTACACCCCAAACTGTCATAACCAGCAAACCCTAGAGGCAGGAAAGAAGGAAGGAAGGAAGGAGCCATCTTTCCTCCCTGGCCCTCACCCCACCCCCAACTTAGGAATCAACTCACTTGCCAAGCATAAAACGAACCTAAATTTAGGTTCATTTTTATAGGACTTTACACCCAGAATATCTTAGCATTTTAAACTCTGATTTTAGAATCCTGACACCCTTCTTGGCAGGAAGGCTGGAAACCAGGCCATTGACTGCCACAGCCACAGGATCATCTCATAAGACGCACAGCCCCCGCCCCAAGGAGACGGCTGGAGAGCTGTAAAGGATGAAGGAAAGCCAAAAGCCCAAAATAGGACTCGGGGCAGTGCTGGCCATGATGAGAGGCTTCTAGGCTGCCTGACGCTGAGTGGGGAGAATGGCTGGGCAACCAGCCTTTCCCTGGCTGACGGGGGAGTGAGGGTACAGAGTGTCGAGGGTAGGCAGAGGCTCACCGAGGACTCTTGGGCTTCACACAGCTCCTCAGGGGTTCTGGGGTCCGTATAGATGGTAAGCTGCTGTATGGAGCCCTGGGAAGAGAGAGACAAGAGGCATGGGTTACGTGTATACATCACAATGCCCAAAGAAGGTGGGAGGGGGTGTTTGTATGAGGATGAACACTGGGAAGGGCTAGCATGGCAATGTGCTGTTGATGGGGGTGACAGGAACGCCAGGCACACCCCACCCAGGCTCTCCATCCACTCAGGGGACTCTCCCTGCTTGCTCCCATTGGATATGGACTACCTTAGCATGTGTTCAGAATGTGCACACTCACAACAGACTACCATCTCCAGGGCACCTGCAGGTCAACCACAGACCCTGAAGTGTGTCTTCCCACCCTGCCAAAGCTCAAAATTTCCTTGCTAGACATTCTTGCCACATGGAGAGCTGCCAGTAGCCTCCCCATTCCACTCCCAAGGACTCTCCAGATCTGATGCTCGGTCTCCAAAAGTCAGCAAAGTCAGCGTGTACACCTGTGTAGTATGTCTGCACAACCTCTGTATCACCCGAGCTACAAATAAATTCAATTTCTGCCCTCTAGTGGTATTTTTTTTCTAGTGGTTGGTGGTTTTGGATTTTTGATTTTGAGCGTGTGTGTGTGTGTGTATGTGTGTGTGTGTGTGTGTGTGTGTGTGTGTGTGTGTGTGAGAGAGAGAGAGAGAGAGAGAGAGAGAGAGAGAGAGAGTCTCTATGTAGTCCTGGTTGTTCTGAACTCACTGTGTGGGCCAGGCTAGACTCAAACTCACAGAGTTTGGAATGCTGAGATTAAAGCTGTGTACCACCATGCCCAATTTTGAGAAAGAATTCCAATCTGTAGGCTGACCTGGAAATCACTCTGTAGCTCAGGTTGACCAGGACCTCATGACTCACTGCACTCTGAGTCCTGGGATTTCAGGAAAGACCCAGGACTCTAGCCTGCCTTAGTGTGTTTGATTCACCCTAGAGGCATCCTGGCTCAATACACAAGTGCAGTAAATGAAAACCTCTGATAACCTAGTTACTTTCTTCAGAATGGCTTAACAGAAGCTTGTTCTGGTAGGGAAGCTGGTCTTCCGCTTTGTTTTAGGACACACTGTTCAAAAGAAGAAGAGGAAGTTATGCCTCATTCCAATCGTCAGGTGCATCCATCTCTACGGAAATTATTTCAGCACAATTGCCATTCACAGCTAGAGGTGAAATCATTGGGGAGCAGAAAGCTGGGCTCTCTTTCGGTCATGGCTTTCACTGAACAAAGTGCTTCTTACTGTTTTCCTGCACAGGCCTATACCTTACTATGTAGCCCAGGTTGGCCTCGACTTCACGATTCTCCTGCTTCAGTCTCCCGAGTGCGGAGATTCCAGGATGCACTAAAAAACCCAGGCTTAGGATAGGGGCCTTTATGTCCACACTCAGACAATAAAACGCATAATACAGTACCGCCTAAAGCCTAAAGCCTACAGCCTAGATTTATGACAGAGTACTGGGACCATTGACTTCCAGGCCTAGAGTACTTCCCACAACGGTGTACATGCCTTGAGAGGACATAAGAATAAAATAACAATGATCATTGCTACTTCTTGGGGTGTGGGAGCTCACGCCCCAGCTTCTCTAGTCTTGGGGAGTGAACGGGAACTCACCATAAATGTCTCCAGTCCCATGGCTCCTGCACTGCCCACAAAGATCCCGGCACGGGGCTCGAAGGTCAGAGGCCGGGAAGCTCGCTGGAAAAGTACGTGGCTGTGTTCCTCACAGTCCAGGAGAAGGGCAACTTCCTCACCCTGGACGGTCACAGCAAAGCGGTTCCATCTGTTGGTCATCACGGGCACTGAAAAGGCAGCGGCTTCCTGGGACACATGGGAGCCCGGTTCCGTGTAGTACAGGATAATCTGCTGGTGGCCGTCCTCCACACTGGACAGCCGCAGGCCCAGGTAGATGACCGTCTGGGAAGCATCGGTAATCGCGAAGAGCACGCCTCCTTGGGCGCTGCTGGGCTTCACTGCCACACCGATGGCAAAATCCTTGAAGAAGGTAGGTGGCATAAGGGTCATTGCTGGGCGGCCAACATTGGCACCAGGCCCAAAGCTGTAAGCCGGGAAACCACCATAACCGGTGACAAAGGACACAGACGAGGGTAATGGAACACCAATCAGCTCCGTGAGGTCCAGATGGTCCTGGGAGGCCGACCCTGCAGGGAGGAGGAGAGGCTATGATTCCACTACACTGGAAAAGAAGGAGCCATACACACAACTGAACCCCACGGGCATCCGCAGAAACCAGACTTTCTAGACGGCAGCCTCCAATAATGGAATTCGATCTGCAATGTACACAAACACACATGAACAGAACTCAGAAAAACCATTTCCGAAAGCACCAGTGCGACTGCGAACACTTAGGCCCTTGACCCTTTCCTTCTCCCCTTTAATGATTGTTTTTCTCTTTTAAAAATTAAAACCATGCTGGAAAGACTTACTAATTGATTTGATTACCCACTAATTTGGGTCATGATCTATGGTCTGGAAAAACATTTACAAATCACGTCTAGAATATATAGTGCTCCCCCTCCCCCCATTAACTTGGAGATCTCTTTAACGAAGTGGAATTGGAGTGGACCGCTTTGTTTTAAATGGGGTCTTCTGTTTACAGCCTCAGAGCGTGGCAGGAAAGCACGCACAAAGGCAAGTGTTCCCGGGAGGTCAGCACAATTGAACTTTGCTTCATAGTGGTAACTGTTTGGTGGCAGTGGCAGCAGCAGCAACCCCAGCATTCCCAGCATCCTCACCATCAACCATATCCCAGCTCTTTCTCTGTATGGGGAACTGTTCTGAGCATTTTATGCAACTGAACTCATTTCATTGTCACAAGAATCCCCACGAGATTAGGTGCCTTTATTTCCATTATTGCTTCTGAGAAAACCAAGACTGCCTGAATCTAACCAATGTGCAAGCAAGATTCAAGTACAGATTTCAGTCCTAGAGTGCCTGCCCCAAACCTGTGCTCTTCACCAGCACCTTCGGTAGGGTGGGTAGACGTCCCCTGCAGTGGCCTGGGAAAGAACCTGGGTCTGACCATTGTCTCTGGACGAAAACTACAGGCTGGTCCAGGGTCTGCCCACATCCCTGAGCTGATGCAGAAGTGGCAGCAGTAAGAGAGGCATATGGGTCTCAGGCAGAGTGGCCGCATCCAGTGTCACTGAGCCTGTGGACAAGGCTTCAGAAACAAAGCTAGAGCCTGAGGATTTGGTCAGGGCAGAGGGCCTAGAATGATGAGCCTCAGAATGGAGTCCTGGCCTCCTTGAAGGCCAGAGGGCAGGACAGATCTCCTAGTGACACCTGGGCTACAGCCAAGAGTGAGAGCCCCTAGACCATGGCTAAGATTCTTCTTCTGTCGCACGAGGAAGTCAGAGGACAACCCAAATGACTAACCAAGACCATCACTTCTAGTAAGCTTCAACTGTCAACTTGACACAGACTAGAATGACCTAAATCCCTCAGATGACTTCCAGTCTCAAATGAAGGATTCTCTATCAGTGTGGTCCGTGGGAGCATGTTCTTGACTGCTAGTTGCTATAGGGAGTGGACAACTCACTGTAGGTGGTGTCACCCCAAGGCAGGAGGTCCTGGACTATATAAGAACTAGCTGAGCTGGTTTAGGAGCATTCAGTAAGCAGAGTTCTCTGTAGTTTCTGTTTCAAGCTCCTGCCTTGCGTTTCTGCCCCAGCTTCCATCCATGATGGGTAGTGTCTTGGAGGGGTTAAGACGAAATAAACCCCTTCCTCCTCAAGTTGCTTTTGGCCTCAGTGTTTATTGTAGCACCAGAAAAGTCAAACAGACCACCATCCAGGTAGCCCCTAGTCAGAAACAGTAGAGACCCAACAGTAAGGTTTCCTTACTGCATCTACAATAGTCAAGAGGCCTCTGAGCAGGGATCCGCCCCACTGTGCTGAGCTGGGGCTGCCTCTGGCCTTGAACTCCCTGCACAGAGCAGCCATTGTCATTTCTCATCTGCTAATTTTCTTTG